AAATACAGTATGAAGGACTGATACGTGGCCTCGCAAGGAGATGGCTATTGGGTGACTATGGTCAGCCTAGGACAACTGGACCATTATTTTCTGTCTGCGAGGTGACGTGGACGAGCAGCTTCACAGACGGCTGACTCCGAGATCCAAACAAATAAAGAGAACAGGACAAATATAACGAAGAAGAATGACAGTGACACTTTACACGTGTGCGTAATGCCACTGATACGGCCTATATCCCCCCCCCCCCACTACTTTTTTTGTGGTATAAACGTGAAATTGTTTTGTTTGTATATGTAAAGAATATTAGAGAACGAGTGAGTTGATATGTCTAAGCTCAGCAGAAGCATCATCATACTGAACCCCACTCATAGTAACCCGATGCTTATGAAATGCGGAGCATTTCTTAGCGAACTTCGGCGACTTAGATCGTATCTATCTATCTATCTATGCTTATAAAATGCGGAGCATTTCTTAGCGAACTTCGGCGACTTAGATCGTATCTATCTATCTATCTATCTATCTATCTATCTATCTATCTATCTATCTATCTATCTATCTATCTATCTATCTATCTATCTATCTATCTATCTATCTATCTATCTATCTATCTATCTATCTATCTATCTATCTATCTATCTATCTATCTATCTACCTATCTATCTATCTATCTATCTATCTATCTATCTATCTATCTATCTATCTATCTATCTATCTATCTATCTATCTATCTATCTATCTATCTATCTATCTATCTATCTATCTATCTATCTATTTGTCTATCTGTCTGTCTGTCTGTATGTCTATCTATCTATCTATCTATCTATCTATCTATCTATCTATCTATCTATCTATCTATCTATCTATCTATCTATCTATCTATCTATCTGTCTGTCTGTCTATCTATCTATCTATCTATCTATCTATCTATCTATCTATCTATCTATCTATCTATCTATCTATCTATCTATCTATCTATCTATCTGTCTGTCTGTCTGTCTGTCTGTCTGTCTGTCTGTCTGTCTGTCTGTCTGTCTGTCTGTCCGTCCGTCTGTCCGTCTGTCTATCTATCTGTCTGTCTGTCTGTCTGTCTTTCTGTCTGTCTATCTATCTATCTATCTATCTATCTATCTATCTATCTATCTATCTATCTATCTATCTATCTATCTATCTATCTATCTATCTATCTATCTATCTATCTATCTATCTATCTATCTATCGAGCGACCTACGGCATTTGGCTCTCCTGGTCGTTTCGATTATGGGATCTATACCAAAATTTGTATGGCATAATATCACTGTATGATAAACATAAGTGAATAGTCATAACATAAAAATCATCACATGTATGTAATTAATGTCATGATTTACATGTCATGGTCTTGCTGCTCTTGCGGTTGTTTCGTTCACTTGACTTATTGCAAAGCTGGTATGGTATGACATGACTGCATGGCGAACATAAGTGACAGGCCGTAACGTGGAAATCATGGCATACATTTCACTACACGCGGTCGTTTCGCTGGCGTCACATATACCAAATTTGCTACTACGTGACGCAAATGGATGACGAATGTATATGAGTAGTGCAATCCTGACAATCATAAAATGCGTGTCACGTAAGAACATGACTACATGCCATGCTCATGATTCATTCGGGGCAGTTTCGCTAGCTTCCCATATAACAAATTCGGTATTACGTGACGCGAATAGATGACGAAGACAAATGATACGTCCAAGCATGATAATCATGACATTCGTGTCATGTAAAACATAGCTACATGGTATGCTCTTGGTGCGCCCACGGCCGTTTCACTATCTTCACATATGCCAAATTTGGTGTTACGGGACGTGAATGGACTACAGAGGTGAATGACACGTCCAGACGTAATAATCATGACATGCGTGTCATGTAAAATCAACGCTTCTTCTAGAAGATGCCTGCTCCATGAGAAGAAAAACAGCTGCCACACCCTTTTTCTTCTTCATTTTGGAAATGTTCTCGGTCGCTAGCGTCACCTGTGGCGGACGGTGCAACAACGCAACACTTTGCATAGCCTCCGAAACATGGTGCACAGTTGCAGATCTCGAACAACTCTCGACTGACGCGCTTCTATGGGCCGCAGATGAAGAACGCTTAACTGGTGCCGCCCGCTGCCGTGATAATAGTCTCGGTCGCGAGCGCCACCGCACGGCACTTGCTCAAAACTGAAGGAGGCCAACTCCGCTGGGAGCGCGAGCCATTCCCCAGGCATTGTTTAGATGAGGCGTTGGTAAAACATGACTACATGCTATGCTGAGAGCGCACTCGCGGCTGTTTCGCTAGCTTCACGTATACCAAATTTGGTATTACGTGACGTGAATGGACGATGAACACAAATTCCAGGTGCAAACATGATAATTATGGCATGCATGTCATGTACGACATGATTTACATGTCACGCTCATGGTGCGCTTGCAGCCGATTCTCTAGCTTGATATACACCTTAGTCGGCATCGAGCGTCGTGAGCGTATGAGGGACACGAATTACAGGTCCCGATATGCGAATCATTTCATGCGTGTCATGTATGGCCTGTTTAGTCGTAACGTTGTGCTGATTTTGAAGTGACATATCAACTTTCCTCATTAGTGCTTCACATATCATCGATTCCCACTACGTGGGATCCGCCAATTTTCATCAGACGAGTATGCCATGCTGAACCGCGTTGATCAAAATCCTTCAACTTCACTAAAATAAAGCTAAATACAAGCTAATACCTGATTGATAAAATAATCATTATTTGTTTGTCGTGCAGAAGTATTTACGTGAAGGCCATAAGGAGTGAAGCAGCTGTTGACATACTGCATAATTGAACAGCCAGGAATACGGCCTCGACAAACTGTTTAACTGAGCTGTCACTCGCGGGTTCACAGAAAACTATGGAGACACTTTTGGTCAGATTTACTGTGTTTGTCTTATGCGTGATTCATCAGATCTACACCATAGTGTCGAAGGTTAGTTTTGGTAGTATCCTGGACTCGTAAGATCTTTCGCACATATCGTGTCTTGGAACTGCCAATATAAGGTACCTTATAGAAGGTACCATATACAAGGTACTCTATTCAGTGAAATCTGCTGGATGCCGGCTCGGAAGACCTTCAATTGAACAGTCGAAGTACTGTCATCGCAAAAGGAATAACTATTCGAGGTGCACATATAGATTTTTTCGTGTCATATAGACTTTATAAATGCAGTCCTCAGGCAGAAAAAGCGTTGCACAAATTCCTTTTTTCATTCTTCTTTTTTTTTTACTATATCTTGCGGGATAGACCGTTTCGCGTCCAGCATAAATTCAGGTGCATTAATGTAAGTTTTAGATGTTTCACTACCCAATGAAACCATCGCGCGATGACTGAGCCTTTAAATTCTGCGCCATGTGGTCACATTATCAGGTAAATTTACGAAAGAATTGATGCTGTATTGGAAAGGAGTTGATGCTATGAACTATTACGTCCCGTCACTTGCAACTTGGCAAGACTGTGCAACCTGACATCGGGAGATCGGTGAATTGTGTTCTAGGGGAAATAAATAAATAAATAGGAAAATAAATAAATAAATGAATAAATAAATATTGTTATTCGTGTACGTCAAACACCGTTGCTTTGTATTTGAAAGAAGCGAGAGCTCCTGCAGATCTCGTATGGTATGAGCATATCTAAGAGACATCGCAATATTATTAATTATTTATCTATGTTTTGCTGTGCACTTGCTATAGGCTATGTTGCTCTTCTTCTTTCAGGATCTCTAATATGCATGTATAATTTCAAGTGGCTAAAAAATGCTGAGATCACTGTATTGCTGTATCGTGTGCATTAAATAACAAGTGGGCGAAAACCTGCTCTGCTAATAATTTGTAATCATTTCATACCGAGACTCTCAACTCTACGCTTTTCTTATAAACTTATTTCATGAGCGCACATGCATGCCCGAAATGACTCAGCGGTGCGTTTCCTGCGGAGTGCCACTGATGTGGTCCGAACGCCGCTGCGATCGTAAGGTTGTTACGCTGCACAGCTGCTCACATGTAAGAGTGTTCCCTTCCGGCAGCTGCAGCTGCGTTTCTGTCAAGGTAAAATGGTACAGAGGCCCGCATATTGTGCGACGTTAGTGCACGTTAAGTGACAGATGGCAGATCATCCCCAGTTCTCCGGTACGATGTGTGCCCCGCCGCGGTGGCCTAGTGGCTGAGGTGCTCGGCTACTGACCCGCAGGTCGCGGGATGAAATCCCGGCTGTGGCGGCTGCATTTTCAATGGAGGCGAAAATCTGTGGGCCAGTGTGCTCAGATTTGAGTGCACGTTAAAAAAAACCCAGGTGGTCGGAATTTCCAGAGCCCTCTACAACGGCATCTCTCATAATCGTATGGTGTTCTGGGGACGTTAAACCCCCCATATTATATCATCAACCAGTACGGCGTGCCTCATACTAATACCGCGGTTTTAGCACGTAAAACCAAAGAAATGTTTCTAATGAGGTCCCCATTTTTGTATTGGTTTCGAATAGTTCAGAAACGCTTGCTACGCTGACGAAGCAGCGGGACTTGAAGTTCGCAGATGTTTGTGCGAGAGATATAAGGTGAATTGTTATAGGTGTCCCAGTATCATGTTGAAGAACTGTTCAGTGTCTACTGGATGAGCATATTCTTGGGGCGAAATCAACCGACAGATGCCTGTAAATTTCGTACTAACAGGCTTCGGATGAAGCTAAGGAATAAATTTTAACATTACTGAAAACATTTTAATATTTTCCAGGTGGTCTGTTTGCGATAATGAACAAGAACACTTGATGCGACTTTGAGATATGACCACCATCACCGCCATCACCAGCAACAGCACCACCACCACCACGACAACAACAACTATTGTCCATACAATGCTCATTTGATATTTTCTCCATTTCCTTGCTTTGCGATGGTGAATAAGTACCTGAACAATAATTTGTTTTCTTTTACTTTATTTTTCTTGCAGTATGCGAAGTGGAAGGCGGCGGAACAGTGGTCATAATGGATATTCAAGAGAGCCGAGGAAATCGTAAGTGCGCCATGCCCGAATACTCCATGTAGACAAGTCGCATCTTATATTGAGCTATAATGACCTCTTTCTACGCAATCATTCACTCGGGTTCTCGTCGTTTCCTTATAAACAGTCGTTTGTTTCTTTTTTTTTGGTTGCACCAGAAAGTTAACGTAAAACACACGATTATGTAAAAATTTTGCTTAATGTCTGCAAACTGCGTCAAATATATAGTATACTTCAAGCTGTTTGCGAGAGAGAAAAATGTAAAATACTTCGAGAACGTAGTGAAATATTGCCAAAAATACCAAACAAAATGCCTATAGACATTGCAAGAAGCTTCGAATAAGTTTTTTATCAGTACGTTGGTATGGTTCGACCACGACCTGATGGGCTAACATGGGCCCTTCTTGCTTGTTCGCTGTAACACAGCATTGAAGGAGCTGTTCACGGTGGCAAGCTGACATTCTATGTACGTTTATAACACCTAAAACATCCTCTAGAGACGGTCATTGTTGTAGAAGGCTTCCTTATGTTACAGTGTCTCCACAATATGTAACCACAACAGTGTTAGTTGAAACATTTCGCGCTGAAGGACAGAAGAATGTCGGCGTATTCAAGATAAGGCTAGTCCTATGTCACATCGGTGTTCATTTTGCGAGCTTTTGTCGCCGAAATGGTGACGAAGCTTTGTCGTCAGTGGTCGTGCGTCATGGTGCATTCCTTGGGTTAACGTTTTGTTTTGTCGCGATGCCTAAGCCGGCCTCGGAAGCACGTAATTGAGACGTGCTCCGCTAGGAGCCGCAACGATCATACCAGTTGACAAGAAAACCGTCTGTCCTTTCAGTACACTTTAAAACTTATTTTTATATAATTTTATGAGTTGATTGGCCAATATTTTCAGTATAATTATGCTTCTTATATCTTATGTATATCCAATATAACTTTAGCCTGAATCGGAACCATCGACTTCGTACCAGTTTCACTTTTGTTAGAGGGCCTGTTCTGAATATTCGTAACAGTGGAAGTAAGTGCGTGATCGGACGTGCTTGGAAGAAAAGGAAGTGAGCCTCTCGGATTATTTCCGTTCTTAATTTGTTTATTATTTTTTGTTCTTTATTTGTGTATTGATTTCTTTTTTTGCATAATTTTTTTGTAATATGCTGGTATGCAATAGTGCAGTTATCATCCATAGGCTACTATACGTTTTTTGGCTGATCCCCCAGAGTGGGGGGTATGTGCCACCGTTTCCAGGTTACAAAGAAACAAACAGACAAACAAACATACAGAAAGGTTCTCTCAGAAGGAAGGAAGGAAGGAAAAAAGAAGGAAGGAAGATAGAAAAAAAATTGTAAACACGGACTGTTGAATCAACCGCTATTCATTCGATATTATATCATCATCGTAAAAATATCTTTGGAGACTGGGAGGTTCAGCAAAATGTTGTAGGCTAAAAGTAGAATTCATCATAATTAACGCTTCATTATGACCACATATGCAACCGCTATTAGCGCTTAAAAATGATAATAAATCAAGAGTATGATCCACACGACTCTTGGCCGATCTCCCTTAGTGGATAGATGCGAATCACCCAAGGAGCTCCATCATCACTGAAGATTATTGATCTATTCTAAGAATAAATTTGTTTCTTTATTTAAATAATTGTATGCATTAAATCAGCGCCACACTTTCCTAGGTTATTGGTAATCTTTGTATTATATCTCCATTATTCTAAATCTGAACAATAATTTTTAAAACCACTCGATTCTTGGCCAATGCCCCATAGTGGGTATGCGCCAGGATCAATGGGTGAACAAGATTAAGAACAAGCTGATGTTTCGACAAGCCAGTTGGTTTCAGTTACACCCTGTGTTCATGAATACTTCATCTCTTCAAGCTTCCATCTTCCCCTGAACTCGTTGCTCGTGCCACTATAAACATTGGCCGTTCGTGAAACAATCGACTGCAGCCTCTGGGTAAAACCAGCAGTCACTTCATGCGGTTGATGCACGTTCAGTGCGCGTGCCGAAAAGCGCGTCCGTGCATGGCACCCATTAGGCAGTGTCGGTGTTTCAGAGACAGACCAGGAGACGCAGCCGCGGGAACTTCCCGTCGTGGGTGACATACAGGACATCGAGCTGAGCATTCAGTCGGCCACATACGACGTCTTCCAGCTACTTGGTAAACGTCTCATTCTCAAGAGGCCACTCGACAGAGACGTAAGTGTTTGAACCTTCGTTCTTCCGTTATCGAAACCACAACAGGCTAACTGGAAAACATGCCGAAAGCGCCGGAAAAGAGAAAAAAGCGCATGGCAATGATACTGTTCATTCATCGGTGCCTGCAAATGCAGTGCTCCTGGGTGGTGTACACATGAGTACTTTTTCAAGATTTGGTGCTGCTCAAGACAATTTAATGTTGGTAACCACTGATTAACGCTCGCCATTATTATCGCTTCTAAACGAAATCGTTTGACTATATAGTAGACAACAGCGGAAAAAAATGTACGTATGAAGAAAGAATGTGGTATTATACTAGATCGGGGAAACTCGAAAATGACCCAGATGATTGCGTTCTGGAGATAAGTCACATGTGTGCATGATTGAAAGGCGCCTTATATTGTGCATATCATATACATATCGACAGTATCACGGCACGTTATGGAACGTAGCTCTGACAGCAGCAATGCTGGCGAAGTAGTAGGAACCGCGAAGTGTACCAGAGTAGGTTACTGGCGCCCCAACGATAAGAGCCAATCACTGACGCTTACGAAACGGCGATGATGCTACGCAATGCCAGTTCAAAGGAACCTCGCCTTTTATTCGAATTGTTCAGCGGGGGTACGACGGTGCTGGCATTGTGTTAAACACTCTTCTTCACTACTCCCAAATGGCATATTTCTGGAAAGATCTGAGCATAATCAGTTTCGCTTATATATTGTTCTGCTAAAAAAAGTCAGATGGAGGGTCTCTGAGACTTGCTTAATGCCGCTATATCTTTTCCCTGTACGTTTTCTAAACTATAGTTCATGGAAATGTGTCCATGCGCTTTAATTGACAAGCGGATCGAACGCCAAAGTCGGCTGATTACGGCGGGTCACCACCCCGTGCGTCATATATATGCGCGTTAAACCTGCTCCGAAAAAGACGAGTTTTTAAAAATAATTCAGATAAATTAAGGAAAAAGGAATAGTTCGTAGCAAAAAATAAAAGAGCTATATGTCATAGAGAAATTTGCGGCAGAATGCAGGAAGAGTTCCCTACACAAGTCATATGGTGAAGCTAACTTCCGCCTGCAGCTCAACACATATGAAGAAATGATCGCACAGATTGCGGAAATGCGTTCATAAGCCATATATGTAAATACGAGCATGTAACGAATCACTGAGCTCGTCTTGCCAAAAGGTGACAGCTGCGGTTCAAGGTGGCAATATTTCTAGGCTTGCGATAATATTTGTGAGTTGTGCGTTTGGTTATCAGTTTTTTTATCAGTTCTTCGTTAGCTGAGTATTGCTTTCAATAAGGAAAGCAGCATAGTTGCTCTGAACTGGCCGTTTTTCTTCTTGTGCTTAGCGTCACGCTCGTTCCCCCGCTGCAAACTGTCGCAACACTTCGCTTCGAAGAAAAGGACCCGTATTGAGTTCGCGTGAAAAAGTATAGCGCAACTTTCCTTCGATCCAGCCTTTCAGTACACATATAGCTGTGTCTCGTAGTGTGTAGAGTATACAATGCAGTATTATGCAAAGTACAAAAAATCAATTCCCTGTCGCCTTTGTCTTTGGCTGGTCGCACGAGTTTCGCAATTAGCCGCGCTTACGGTGAATGCCTTCAAGCTGTGGGGTTGCTTATGTTCGCCACCGTTTTACGTTCGCGTTCTCACACGTATCATGGCTGATTTACGGCACTCGGGTGGTTCGCTGGTAATTGGCCGAGAGTGTGGTGCTCTGTGTCTCGCAACTTTTCCTTCACGTCGCGTAATGGCTAACGATAGTTTTGCGAAATACAAGAGGACAAAGAAAAGTTTCGACGCGATAAGGCTGCTGATGCAGCGTGAGAAGAGAAAAAAAAAAACAAGAGCGAAACAATAGAATCTGGTGGTTTAGGGATCACTGTCGACTAATATTCGTTAGTGTTCCATGTAGCCAACACATCACAAGGACGTTAGTACTAATTAGGTAAGACAGTTAACTGTTTATACGTTCGTCTTACTAGCGAAGAGTAAGTTATACACGTCCGGACAAAGAACATAATCTCGCAGGAAAGACCTTAGAATAGTCTGCTGCAGTGTTTTCTCTATTTGTTGCAGGCTGACGACTTGGCGTCTATACGGCTTCAGGTGCTTTGCCAGGCCCGATTAGGCAGAGTACAGGTAAGCGAATGGGTAATCTATTTCTGTTTCAGCAGCGCGAAGTGTGAGAATGTATTCTGTCCGTTAATCATTTCTGCAATTATGTCTAAATGAAGTATACTTTCCCAACTTCAGATTATTTCATTACAGCGTTGTTGAATGTGTGAGCTCTCGCGTAACTGATGGTGGCGAACGTAGCACTGCAGCAGTAAGCTTCGCTGCATTGTGGAACCAGGAGGAAAACAAAGCCCTATCTAAAAATTGATTTGTCTAAGCACGTTTGCGGGAGGGGGGTGTTGATAGAGGGAAAGTTTAACGTGAAGTGTGTACTATGGTGCACACACATTTACGACGCAATTATATGCGCAATTAGTTTTTATAACATGCATACTCATCTTACAGATTGAAGTACAGAAAACTTTAATATTGTTGCATTTGTGTTTTGCGGCTAATCGATAATGTCCTCCTCACTCTCTGTCGGGAGCAGCCTTTTTCGCAGCGAGCCATCCAGGTTTTGGTGCGAGTCAACGATGTCAACGACAACCCACCGCTCTTCAGGCGTCCCCACTACGAAACCAAAGTCTCAGAGGTACTGCGCCAGTTTCTCGACGACATATGATTTTCCGCAGCGGCGAACGGGCGCGGCCATTGTTTATCACGTGATCGTAACTGGCCCTGGTTCAGGGAAGTGGCTATGGACGTATTATACAAGCTGGTTGCATCGAGGCGTACGTAAGTCATATGCTTGCGCAGCAAAACGTAGTTCTTGCTTACAGAACATGCGACTCGCTTGCCCCCGCAGCTGCAACCAGCTCGCGCTGCCCGGCCAGTCATAATCACGTGATCAAACATGGCCGCATACGTACCTTAGAAGTGTGGCAGCTTGGGCTAGTTGGTATAGCATGACGATAGTTATAGCGCGTGAACAAAACGACGACACAGAGACAAGAAGTGTCTTTCGTGTCCTTCTTGTCTTTGTGTCGTCGTTTTGTTCTCGCGCCATAACTATCGTCACGCATACGTACGCCGTTGTCGAATATTTTCGATACGTGCATGGTAAATGTTCGTAGTCTTTTTCATTGGACTGTATTTACGTGATGAAACGGCTGTCGATTTGCGCATAATAACACTTCGCACGTTGGCACTCACCGCTTTTGCAAGACTCGACATCAGCATCGAGGGAGACGTAGATTAAGGTACTAGAAGAATAATGTATATTTTATTTATTGCGGACTGCATAAGTATTGACGCCGAGCAAGGAAGAGATAATAAAGAAGGTTGATAATGCGGGAAATACGATGTGACGCCAACAGTGTAGCCGTTCACCAGGCAGTCGATGCAAGGAAGGTGCTATTCATACAATATATGCATTGACTGACAATGGTGCCAGGTAAACTTTTTTTTGATAAAGGTTTCTTTGTTAACACGGGAAGGAGTAAGTTTTATTCCCCATCGTGATTTGTATCACGCAAGACAGCAATTACCGTGAATTCTATGCTTCTTAATGCATGGGTGGTGCCACGCACTCGATATATGTTCGCACTCAAGGACAGATTATGATCGATTTTCTCTGCTGTTAAACTGAAGGGACGAGTAGTGGCACGAGGAATAGGATAAGTTGTGCGTTATGCTCGCCTGACAGCTTTTCTTTAACTATAGAAGCTAGCTATATAATAGTTAAAATGATAACCACTTTTCATATTGTAATGCGAGAATAAAACAAAAGTAAAACAATAGACCGTGCACTGGGAAATGCCCTCGCAACGCACGCTACCAAGATTGCTCACAGAAATAACAAGGACATTATGTGTTCCAGACACCGGAGCTCAAGCTATAGTTAAAAAACCACACGAAAAAGTCACCGAAGTCGTTCGATCATGCGCGCTTCAAAAAGTGGCGTCGTTGTTTATCGGCACTATGCGCAGACACCTTCCCATATTGAAGCAGTCCGAACAGATCTCGAAACATTACTTTGTTTTCACTTCAATCGGTGGCGTGTTTCCTAGCAACAATCTTGTCTTACCATGCGCTACTCCGTCTAAAGTTTCACTCTATAGAGTATTCAAAGATCCCACCCTTTGTTACTATATATAGAACCTTTCAGCAAAGCCAGCGACTGTCGACAATGATTGTTGAGAAGAGGCTGGCCTCATGGAAGTTGCCTAAACGTAGAGTTCGATCTCTCCAGCTAAGCTGCGATTTCCTCAGGGCATATTCTACTATAGGCACAGTTGGAAAGACATCCACAGTCACTTAGGGGACAACGCGATCTAGCCGGTTCGGGAGCGCATACGACCGCAGAGAACATCTCATTCATAATGGGGTAAAACAGAAGACATGGTCGTGACTTGTGCGCCCGGTAGTGTACGCGTGGTATCCAAGTGTACGAGCGGGGTTTATAAAGAAAGCGTTTACTAATAATGCTGTAGCATTAACGAAGAATGAGCTTTAACAGCCAAGTTTCATCTATCTGTAATGGAGGTATTCCTGGCTTTGAAAGAGCTTGCAAATTTAGTGCTATGAAGGCTGCCGACAATCACATCCGTAACTCACAGCTACGAAAAGGAGGTGATTCGCAGCCATTTTTGTTCGCTTCGGCCACCGCCACAAGAGTTCCGAGTCCTGAAGGGGTTTAACTTTCATGAAGTGAACCTCCACTTATAGTGTACAAACAGCATGAACTGGTGTTTAAAAACAAACCAGAATTATTTGCGTTTTGTTCAAAAGTGCGTAGAAAAAAGGGAAGTATAGCACTTTTCTCTTTGTCCACGCAACAGGCATTCGTTCCGTCTGTTGCATATTCTAATTGCTGGGTGCCACAGAATTGGCGGACTGACCCTAACATGTCCTTAAATGAAAGAGACGCACTGCACGGACAATCGCTCATTAAGACTGCGAGGGTAACGTCGCGCGCAACGGATACCTCCACCAAAACATCAACCTTAATAACCCAATGCGTGTTTCACGCTGTAGTGAACAGTTCTTCTGCTGACTTCATTCGTGTTTGGGATCTCCGCTACACCTTGTTCTTTCAAAGGGAGTAAGCGCCACGTGTTGATTACATTGAAGAAGAAGATAGCTGTAATGTGCCAAAAAAAAAGAGGCTATTTATGACTCAAAAATAACGTTTACGTTCTTATCACATATGAAGTGAGCTCTGCGTGTAGCCTACCACGCCCAGGCATTTATACGCCGTAAAACAATCACGTAGCAAAAGAATGTGACGATTTGGTGAACAGGCACACCGTATAGTGTTCGTTTAAGAAATCATTTTAAATTTTTAACCAGGTGGAGTTATTAAAAGGTTATACCTACATCTAAGCATACGAGCGTATCAGCATTACATATTTATTCAAAATGGGGCTACCACAGTCCGCGTTGAACCCTCAGCTTAGGTTCGCGGCGCTTAACCAGTGAGCTACCGATACAGCAAACACTCACTGTACTGAGGGTCTTTTATGCCTGACGTCCTGCCTTCAATGCGTACATGAAAACTGGAAAGATGTGCTTGTTTGCCAGCAGTGCTCAGCTGTAATGTTTTCTTTCTGTCCGTCTTCTCTCTTTTTGTTGTACCCATCGCGGCGGCAGCTGGCTCCTGTGGGAACGACGATATTTCGTGATCTAGCCACAATGGACATGGACACGGGAACCAATGGGCTTGTCGAGTACACCACAGTCCCGGGAGATGGCAGCGACGTGAGTGGACTTCGCATTGTCTGTTGAATGCCTTTTGTGAACGAGGAGGTCGTTTGTTTCTATTCCCTTTCTCATCCGCTGTGTCGTTTGTTCAAGGGACGCACATCGCATATCAATGTATTATTGTCAACGGGAGATGTCTTATCAGCTTGCTGCTTTTATATTTATATTTTGTGTTGTACTCGAACACATACAGCCGGAACTGTGAGAAAAGAGAATATTTATGAAGCAGAACGAACACTTGTTCTCCCTGTGTGCGTCTCGGGCTCCTATGTTTTGAATTTCATTCATACATTTATTTGTCTTGCTTTTTCTTCGCACAGAACGACGGGTACGACTATTTTGCCATTGACTTACCTTACCAAGGACTAGTGACAGTAGCGAAGCCGCTGGACTACGAGAGAGCCAAGTACTACCACTTGGTAATCAAAGCGACGGTGAGTAATTTTATAACCGCATATTGAATGAACTGTATGCTATAAGTAAGGTACTATAAATATCGAGAGGTACTTTTTCTGCCTGATTATTCCACGTGGCTCACATTCTGTTGTGTTACTGCGATATAACACAATGAAACCAAGACACAACAAATCCATACAAGGTATAAGGCATTCCAAAGGTCTCCGACTGAGCTGAACTTGCAGACCACAAACAGTCTACCGCAAGTGCCAGGAACGTATCCGGGCTGATTTCTAGTATTACAAGTCGTGACGCTGATTCTGTAATATAGCTTTTCTTGCATTGGTTAGGTTAATCATAATTATATGGTGGTTTTGGAACATTAAATTGTACATACAAATGGATCAATATATGGTTAGGTTATAACGTGTAGGCTAACACATGGTGACCGCATCAGGAGCCTCGAAAAAAAAAAAAGACTGCTGGAGGACAGCCACGTCCATGTAGCCCAGTAACATACTTATTAGAAAAAATATACGCATTTGGGATGGAGGCAATTATCTGCGGGCCGGTGTCGGCCGCGTGTTTGAGACCCATGGTATAAGGAATATATTATTAGTAGTCTTAGCTGTAGGTCAGTAATTATGGCCTAATTGCAATGGACTCGAATCGAACGAAAAAAAGAAAACTTGCAGCTGGTGGGCACCAAACCGACGACCTTCTGGTAACAAAAATAGTAGATTCGTGATGCTGGCAAACAGGCGTGTTGTGCGATGGTCGTTGTGGCTACGAGGAGCGCAGGCTAGCGCTCCAAGTATCAGGCGGGCATAGATATTTACCCAATATTATGGACGGACTGAAGGACTGCCACAGTGGAAAAATTGGTCGAACATCAGATGTGGTATCCCAAAGTTGTATGTTCGGTCCGTACCTTCCGCAGCATGTTTTCGTATACTCTGCCTTCTTTCCATATATACGGCAATATGGTGGTTTTGGCACGTTAAAACTCAACAATTATTATATTAATCATCATTATGTTTACAATTTCCGAATGAGCAGACTTAACCCCTTAACTCCTTTGGATGAGCAGAGCTCGTCCTTCCCTAGCTGTCAACAAACTGCTTTGGACAAGCAGAACTCGTCCTAGAGAAATACTTACTCCCCTCTAGCATTCAGGTGGAGAAGCGTGCATTTACAGCTTACATGGCGTGTAATCCACTAGATGGCAGCATTTGCTCAATGATACAGTTTTTTCTTGTGCCAGAAGCGTGGTTTTTGTATGGAAAGACGGCGTGTGGTGGCGCTGAGCCATGCATAGCTGGCCCGTGAACACTATAAAAATAAAAAGACGCTAGTCGTTTTCGTCATCTTCTTGAAGTGATAATGATTCCAGTACGAATATTTATCTTGCGTCCGGAACTGAAGACAGCGACGACGGTGAACTGAGCAGCTCCTCCGGTGATGATGAAGATAGCTCAGACGCAGACATTGTGAGTGCCCGTCAGTGAAGCCGCTTTGAGTTTTTTCGCGTTTTGAAGTTTTCATCACAGCTGCAAAGCTTCCCGAGTGAAATACCGCAAGGATGCTTAGCCTACACAAGTGAAGAAAGATGTTGCGTCTGTAAATGTTATATTTATAGATTTTTAAGTTTTATTAGAAGGAGGTAGCTGGATTCCTATGTATGTTCAGAAATGAAGTTTATTCCCTTGATTTGACTAATTACGTGGTGAAAATAGAAAATAGTTTTTCAACATTGACAACTACTTTTTAGTACAGTCCGATTCAAAATCAGCCATAAAAAATAAGCATTTTCTGACCGGAAATTAAAAAAAAAAGAGCAGTTATGGGGTTAAATGGTAACAGGTCCTTATTTGCCCGTGATGGGTAGGACCAACACATGTGACGTTAAAAAAATTCGAGCCTTAGTTCTAAAAACTGTGAAACCAGACCTTGTCCTTGTCGGCTAAAATAATCTAAAATCTTAGTCACCGAGTCCTGGTCGGCAGAGCCTAAAGATAATAAAAAACAAAAAATATCATCGACGTACCTAAAAGCCTTTACAACGTTCCTCAAGCTAAAACCTTTGCTTAAAGAGCAATGGGCGTTTGCTAAAAAAATATCTACAAGGAGAGGAGCCAGACAGAAACCGATACATATGCCATTACGCTGCAAATAGGCTCATAATTAGAAACGATAAAAGTGAAGTTACGATAAAACTCTAAATGTCTCAAGAAATTGCTAGAAAAAAAAAACCGACACAATTCTGGAAAGACACAGCCCCATAGCCCTCGATACATTATTGCACTGAAGACATAGGTTCATGCTCAGAATATGAAATAAAAAAATCTTCTATGTCCACTGAGAAACGATACCCCACTTTAGTTTTTCCGCACAAGAGCTGCACTACATCATCTGTACTTTTCGTACGATAGGGGTCATTCTACACTAGCGACTTTGATTTCTTCGGTAAAAACAGGCTAACATTGTGTTGCCAGCACCCCGATTCACTGACGATGGTTCTAAAAGGTACTTTTGGCGTATGGGTCTTGGCCGTGAAAAACACTTTCAATGGATTACCTCTGTTCTCTGTGCTTTTCGCAAGTGACATTAATTCCGATTTTTCACGAAACTCTACAAACTTTGTTTTCACTCGAACCTCCCGCTTCCCAACACGAACAAAGTTTTTTGTCACAGCCTGCAACACGAGGTCGTTAGCTTTCAGAAAGGACCGAACGTGCGCCGAACACTAACATCTGAATCCTGGGTGGGCCTTTTGGCACTGACTTGTCTAAACTTACACCCTTTAATAGGCATTGATCGCGGGACTCTTGCTTCGCATTAGCAGCGATATTTCTATTTATTGCAATCAGACAATGCGCAGGAACATGCGAAGGTGTAAAAACAATTTAGGGCCTTTCGCCAGCAAGTGTTCTACATCATCAGGCAGGTGAACCTTTCCAATCGCCTTCACACTTTTCTTTACAACAAGAGCATAATTTCCACTAGAGCGGCACAAAAGTCTCGCCATACTGTTCCAATTAGCTTCGATTAATTAAGCTGCTAGTCAAACACAGGAGCAGTACTTCTTCAGAGACAGACACTCAGGATCAGCTGAACGGAAAGCGCTCAAAACCAATCCTAGAAAAGTGCACTTGCCGCCATAGTTCCGAACGTAATAATTAGTACAGTCTCTTGACAAGAGTGCAGGACGGGGTCACAGAGCTGAAAAACGCTTTCATATCTGTCGAGACAAGCCTCTTACGCAGGCAGAATCTATACAGCCTAGCTCAGCACGTCGAAATTTTTGATGGAGGCGAAAATGTTCGAGGCCTGTGTATACTTGTATTTAGATGCTTGTTAGAAAATCTCAGGTGGTCGAAATTTCCGGAGTCTTCTACTACGGCGTTCCTTATAATCAAGTGGTGGTTTTGAGACGTTGGATGGATGAATAATTTTATTATGGTCCTTCGGTGCGTGCGTTTAGCGCGCAGCGGGTCGCTCCCACGTTGGAACGTTAAAACACAACAATTAGAAAAAAATGTGTTCGCTGTCGGATGATTTCACTAAATCACGCCAAACCAAAAAAAAAACGCACAAATGAGCCAGTTTTTTTCTCGATTGTATGCAATATGAATTGCATGTAGTCATCACCTAGAATTCCAAGAGCGGTAAGATCAAACTCTTCGCGCCGTCTACGGTGAATGAGAGAGAAAGCTTGCGAGGGCAAGCTGAGGAGGCCTAATGATGGCTTGACGCTATCCAATTTCCGGCGGGTCTAGTTACGTCAATAATTACGTCATTACGTCCCTTTGAGAGGGACGTAATGGTTCATATGCTCCGCGCAATAGGGCATACGGGATTATGCGCGTCGTGACTGTACACGGCTGTCCGCGTGCCTGAGGGCATTTGTGGCCCCTGCACCTTTTCGTGAAGGTAATCTGCGGTGGGCGACAAATGCTGCAAGGGCGACGACAGACAGGAAAAAAAAAAACACTGTTTATGTATGCAGAGTATTCCCAGCTATACGTCTATGCAACATATCATTTCGAATGCGTTGTTGCCTCTGTAATTTAGACGGAATCACGAAAAAATGGCATGCAAGCTTTTGTGTTATAACTGTCCTCTCAAATGCGCTCCACATTTGTGGCTAGAGCGTTTAAAATTATCTCGTCGAGAACGTACTACGTATATGTGTAAAACGTATTCATTCATACCCACTGAGCAGTCGAGCCGTTGCGTTGTCTAAATACTTCTCTCCCCATTTAGTCGAACCTTGTGTGCACTGTGTACAAAATATGACAACGATTGGTATATTTATTGCATTTGTGCTTTTCGAAAGTTCGTTAGCATGCACTTCAACGTATGATGTGCAAGGATAACTGTGATGGTGGTGGTGGGTATATAGTGTGAGCCAAGGACTGGAAAGGGAGGAGCGTCCACACTGGTGGTAACACAAATAATTATTAAGAGGTGTTGTTATTGGAGGGGAGGGGGGGGGGGGGGGCTCACGAAACTCAGCCTTCGTGTTCTCGCGTGTATAGAAGTGTAGCGCCAAGGGCTTCTATACACGAACAACAAAGCAATTAGCAGACTCGCATGCATATCCTAGCACACAATATATGGGTGCTGTTTAGTAACCTGCTGTTATTATAAATTGCTAAAGATAATAATGGTGCGTCAAACATGAAAACAAAGGTTTAGAGCAAGATATGTGATACAGAACCGTGCATTGGACTATGGCACCATCGCCGGTGTCGTTTTCTAGTTTCTGCAGAGTGAGTACAGAGGCCTGCACGTCACGTTGACGTCCATTCACCGTGCTTATTGCTTCTATGAACGATAAAGAAAGCCGTTGCCTCGGGGGGATTTATCTTTTACACAGGACACAGCGTCGAACCTGTCTGAACGGCTGTCGAGTACTACCACACTGACGGTGTTCGTCGAGGACGGTGACGACCAGGGACCAGCCTTTGTCTACAAGGGGTGCGCTCTTGTTCACGGGGCTTGCACCGATGTGGAATACAGCGCCGAAGTTACCAGCGGCCTCACTGTAAGGACTCGGTATTCTTTGCAGTTTCTGTGAAGTGTTTTTTATGCATTTGAAGCAGTCGAGTGTTACATTGAAAGAGGCACTGCTGTCCTGTGTCAATAACAGCCTAGACATTACTGTAAGTTAGAAGTCAAGCCAGGGTATCTTGTCTAATCTTTATCTGAATGTACTATTGTGAGCAATATGAGTTCGAACACGCGAGCGCGTGGCGATAGCCTCGATTCCTACATCGGCTGATTTGCAGCGACCATTGTCGGCAGCAAAGTGGAAAAGGCGGCGCGCTTTTGGTATCCCTTGGCACTCCAGCCTAAGCATCGTTCCTGCAAAACGGCGGCTTATTACATGTTAGTGGTTTTCAGTGGTGATGTGAACTCGCATAACGCGCGCAGTAACACAGAATCAAAACCATATGTAGCTGCTGAGATATAGGCTGTGACATGGGCCGCCGTGATGTCATGCCTGTATTGTATGTACGCGGTGTTGGATGCGCATATGTGTGCACGTATTTGACTTACAATATCTTTCGTGCATTTTCTGCGTGTTATTGTGTGTGTGTGTGTGTGTGTGTGTGTGTGTGTGTGTGTGTGTGTTTGTGTGTGTGTGTGTGTGTGTGTGTGTGTGTGTGTGCGTGCGTGCGCGTGCAAACTGCAAAAATTTCAGAGGAGGCGGGTGGTGGTTGAAGACCCCATAAGACCCTTTCGTATAGTGTAAAGATCGTCGGGCTCGGAAAAAAAAATACGCTGGGAAATTTTCCGTGATTTTCAAACACTGGAAACTGTAAGAAGCCTGTTCAATGTTGGATCAACGTCATACTTGTAAATGTTCGAATTTAGAAAAATAAGACTTTGACCCTTTGAACATGGTGCTAATCCCATTCCCCATGCATGCTTCACTGTTTTATCGTTTTGTAATGCGTAAACAACAAGCCTTCAAATATAATATTCTTTCTGTTCGTCACTCACACCAACTTAGTGCAAAAACGTCGTGCAATCTTGTTTCTTTCAGTCGGGAATCGTGAAAACATATCCAGAGGATATCCGGGCAGAAGACCGGGACTCCTTAAAATCCAAGATTGTCTACAGTTTTGTTAATGGTACGTTATTTATGAATTCGTGCACATACATATATCAATGAGCTTGAATAATTCCCTGAAGGCTCCAATGCTAGATAGACGCCTACTATGTTTGCCCTTTTGACCAATGTGCAAGTGTTCTAAGTAAGAGATACATTTTGTTACTTTCATAGAAAAAATAACGTTCTTGCATAGCCCCGCCGCAGTGGTGTAGTGGCTAAGGTACTCGGCTGCTGGCCCGCAGGTCACGAGATCGAATCCCGGCTTCGGCGGCTGCATTTTCGGTGAAGGCAAAAATGTTGTAGGTCCGTGTGCCCAGATTTGGGTGCACGTTAAAGAATCCCAGGTGGTCGAAATTTCTAGAGCCCCCCACTACGGCGTCTCTCATAATCATATGGTGGTTTTGGGATGTTAAACCCCACTTATCATCAGACATTAGTGCATAGTTGATACCAAACGTCTCTGCAAGCTACCTTCCACTTTTGAGCGGGAGGAAGAATGTACAGAGGAGTCCTGCACGTAATCATGCTGAAGTAATTGTGTCGGACAAGTTGTTGTAGCCACAAATTAAAAAAAAGCAGTACATACCGTCTGGGCAGCTGTCTCTCTTTTCATGTTGCATAATGGGTATGTTCTCAAAACTGGAACGTACATGCTGCTAGCAAAAAAAAAAACACAAAAACATGTCGGAACTTCGTGACACATTGCTCCAGAAAGACGTTTTCGCTCCCCTCTAATCCTGATCTCGCTGCGTTAATAAATAACCATACGAAACCAAGAGACAGTGAGGTCAAGGACGGGACTTCTGGTTTTGTCTGTTAAAGTCACTTGGTAGAAATCTGTTAGATTATTCTTGTTCATGGTCTCATAGTGTTGATCTGAGCGGGGTTCTGGCAGCGTAAACTAAAGGATAAACTGTTGGTTGAAGTGGAACTCTCGTGTTTGTTAGTGCTTTAATGTCGTTCATGTTTTTATGTGAGTTGTGATATTCCATCATCATTAACCAACTAGCCCACTGACATGTCTTAAGTTGTTAGCTGACAGATACTTTCGTTGACTCTCATCGTTTCCTTTTATCTCCGCAGGAACACCATCGTTCTACCACAGCTACTTTGATATCGACAAAGAGAGTGGCCTTGTTCGCCAGCTCAAACCTGCTGACCGGGCGTTGGCGAAAAGCTACGATATTATTGTTAAGGTGTGTGCTATTAACAATAGGTTGCAGTTTGTTGGAGCTCGTAATACCTGCATAGTGAGGCAATAAAATAACGTAGACAGAGCCATACTCTGGTTGCCAACAAGTGAACTTGCGCATCGAGAGAACGGTTGTTTAAGAAGCATTCGTCTTCACAAATGTGGTGATGCTGGCTTAAATCACCAGGCTTCGCATTACGTGAAGCTCTAGGCGGCGTGCAAATGAGCCTAAAGGGTCAGCTTGCGCTACCCTATATGGCTTGTGCAGGCATCATGTCAGGCCCACACTATGAACTGTGAGCTACCGCGAACATGTCTCCTACAATTTCCCTACACATCTCGTGTTACCTAACCAAGGTTGTGGGCCTCAGATTTGAATTTTGAATAAAGACGGCAGAGGGAGCGTGGAATTCTGGGATGTCATCCTTTACCATCCTCAATTCCTCTCCTCATTAAAGGGCCACTCACCAAGCTCACCCCCCCCCCCCCAAAAAAAAAACAACAACAACAAAGAACGCAATATTCTTTCTCGATATTTCTCGTCCTTCTTGGCGTACAACTGTGACGTAGATAGTAGTTCCCGTGACGTCAACAGCGTACATTCTCTCAATTAGTTGATATACGCGAAATATCGCATGTGATTTGTCTCCTGCACTGCTTTACCAGCAGCCACCCATCTGTTATTTTTTTTGTCTCGCATGAATATTGTGCAGAATCAGCCGATCAAACTTCATTTCATGTGTTTACATCTGCGCAAGCGGCGATAACAGCGTGAAGCCGAGAAGCGTGAAATCCCGATAGGCTCTAGCGCTTAGTGCTGATATTCTTCACGTGCATTCAAGAACTAAGGGGCGCGGAGGATGCATCGTGTGTATGAAGGAGAAGAGAAAGCACCCTCTTGTCTTTAAATGGGGGGGGGGGGGGGGGATGAGTGGCTCGTTAAAGCTTTCAAACGTGCTACCGCGGCTGATTTCAGAATTTCGCTTGTCCTATACTACAGCGTGAGAATGCTGGTGCTGTGTAACATATTTTTTTTTATAATGCATGTAGATTTAGAGTCGTATGCAAAGGAAATGCGAAAGGAAATGCATAAAATCATATCTCTTTGTCCGATTTCGGCAAAAGGTGCTGGTCGTTTTTTGTTGACAAAAACGGTGTACGCCTCTTCTTATCGCCCATTAGCATGTCACATCTCTCACAAGAGTTAATTTATTCATTTTGATACAAATTTTCTTCTGTGGGTTTAGTTATTTCACTGACGCATAAGCATTGGCTTTGCTACCTTGTTTCATGCATTTTAGCTTTACCTTTATGTAAAAATTAAAAAAGAGCGATGAGATCAGAATATACCAAACCTACACACTATAGATCAATGCTTTTAGAGTGTTGTTATACGGCCGATAACATCCATATCGTCAGGCTGCAAATACGGCACGAACACAAAGATATATCTTTTACTCCAGACGCTATGTGTATGGAAGCACTATGCACGATTACTCACTAGGAGCAAAGTAATGGGAAAACGATACCCGTCGCTAAGCTATGCAGTAAAGTAATTTCATTGGCGGAGGAAATGTTTACAAGACTGCAGAAATAAAACACTCTCTAATTGAGCTCCAGTTTTTTCTCACGTACCGAAAATTTCGTTCGTGATCTGCGATAAAAACAGAGGATGGCACTTTAATCAAAATTGACAGCGTGCCACAGTATGTTAATCGAGCTCAATACGGTGTTAAATGATGAAAAAAAGGACATGGTGCACACAAGAATCAACATAAGAGAGCGTAAAACATTGACATATCTCGTTGAGACAAACAAGACCGGAATTCAGGGAAACATGGAGGTTGGAACTTGTGAGAGATCATTGATTAGAAAACGTTTCTGGAGCCAACCCTGGCGATGATGTTAACGCCAGGTGTCTACTTTATATATTCTCTAAAATGCTTATGCTGTAATTTTATAGCACGAAGAAATGTAAGGCATAATTTCTAATTGATCGTGTCGGGTAAGCACAGCTGTCTGGTCGACCCAAATATTGAAAGTTTTGTTATTGTTACTGAAAATTTTGTTGTAATAACACTTATTTTCTTTCTTTTTGTTTGTCACTTTTCTGCTCTTTGTCTTTGTAATGTTTTCTTTTTTTATATTATTTTTTGTAATACATGAGTTAGCAATTGTGTATATAGTTACCATGCATTGGCGACTATACGTTTTCTTTGCCAATCCCCCAGAGTGAGTATGTGCCATAGCTTCTAGGTTCCAAACAAACGAACAAACAAACAAACAAAAACACGAAGAGAAGCTTTCTTATGGAAACGCTGACTGCAACGGCATGCCATGTTCGACATGGTTTCTGATCACTCGCTGTTTTTGCCAAAATGTCGCGACAACCTTCGCAGAGAGGGCAGCTAGCAGGTAGCGCTATATCCTGCATTCCCAGTGCAAGTTACAATTCAAAGTGAGGTAACATTTGATATGCTTATTAGGACGCTCATTTGGAATGAAAAGTGATTGTGATTAGGATGAAAAAGAGACGCATAAATTAGAAACTTCGATAGTTTTATGTTGGTATGAAAGCGTAACTTGAAAACTTAAGTGAAAAAAGATGGATTGATAAAGGTGAATCTAAGGAGAAGGAGGTTAACACAAGATGAATATGGAGTTTCTGCAGTGAGGAAGAGGTAAGAAAGAGTAAACATACTCTTAATCGTAGCGCTTAACTTGCACGTATGCGGAATAGATAAGACCTTCAATGCAACACCATTGTCCGAGTGGTTCTCTAATCGAACTACGAATAAACTAAGGTGACCTTTTGGCGCAGGCTGAAGAAGAAACTCCGAGCCGTCGTTTCGCCACGGCTCGCTTGACCATCAGCGTTCGCGTGGTGGACAGTAACCCGCCTATCCTTCTCGCTTCGGCAACCGAAGGCTTTGTGGACGAGAACTCGCCAATCGGCACGTATGTGGTCACGCAACCAGGAGGCGATGAACCCCTCTACTTTATGGTCAGCGACGATGACATCGTAAGTGACTGGGCTGTCTGGCGATTAACGTGTATGGGGGCGCATTTTGGCAATGAGATGAAGTGTATGAGATTGTGCGCAAAGTCATAGGCAAATTATGTAGGTCATGATTTTCAAAGCTGAGCATTACTTTTCTTTTTGGCAAGTGTGTCCCGAAGAGCACAGAAGAAGTCAATGATGAAAAACGAGCTCATGCATCCTTTTCATTCGATGTATAAAGTGACAGCCCGCACTCTACGAGACGAACAAATCCGTAAATTGAATTGTGTCCAGCCGACGTTTCGACAAGCGGACTTGTTCTCCTCAAGGCTGTAAGAGGGCAGTAGGCTTGAGAGCTGGGCTAGTAGGCGAGATATCATTTTAACATATATGGCGTAGTAGCGCGAATTTGACAGGGACACAGAGGACAAAAAAACACGATACTCGCTACTAGAAGAGTGAATCTTCATCATTAAAAAACATTGTGGAAATGAGCTTTCTCTAATAGCCAACCAACTCAATAGCATCAAACTACCTGAACAGGGGACTGAAGAACTAACTAAAATAAAATGTAGAGAAGATAAACTACGGATGAAGGATAAATGCAAGGGAATTCATGCCACGAACACTACCCCGAATAATTCAATGAACACGCCACAAAATTCTGCTACCCAAGTCTATCACCCATAACGCAAAAGCAAAGTAGTAGACCTATCACAAATCTTAAGTGTTGTCGATATAAATATGCTCAAGCACGGCCTTACATTTTGCCCCACTTGCAACACAGTGAACATATACGCTGCCCACAAAGATATGTCGAAATTTTTAAGATGTTCACGCATAAATGAGTTATTTTTTGATAAGGCAGACACAGAAGACATAAGCCCACTGAGCACCTGGGCGCCAGGAGTTCTATTCTAGCCTTGAGAAAGACAAGTCTGCTTGTCGAAACGTCGGTTGGAGCACACAAACCGTGTTTATGGACTTTTTCATAGCAAGCTTCCATCTTTTCCTTCTTGCCGTTTTTTTTGCAAACTCTGCGAGGTCCATTCAATTCACTGTACTCACTTTCATGTACATTAATTCTTTTTGATTCACATTGATATAGTTTGTTTGCACCTAAACAGAGGCAGTTGATTCACTTAGTTTCCATTATTGTATGAAAGTTTGTTTTGATTTTGGCATTGAGTTCTAATTGCAATATCTGTATTTCGCGTCACGAAAGTATTCATACTATTTTTGTTTACGACACCACCAGTTGCCGTATTTTTCGACCAATGGGCCATATAAAGCTGTCACCAAGCTTCAGAGTTTGGACAGTTAAGTTGAATACGAGTGGTTCGGACGTGCCTTCCCTGAACACTAAAACTTAACGTACGTTTAGGCTGTTACTGTGACAAATTACAGTTTCTCATGTGATGAAAAAGCAGTGCCCATATGACGTATTGCGCTAAAATTCTGCCAAAAAGAAACTTTCACTCAACTCTAACGCTGGACGTATAACCTGTGAAGGCAGCGGGCAAATAAAAAAGATTACACTTGTGAATGAAAAGCTTCGTTAACTCGAGTCCTAGAATCCGGCATTCACCAAAGCACTTGCTCGAGAATTCCTTCTAAAAAAGTTCAACCCAACAAAATATTGTTCATACTACCAGTTAAAGCATGAAGTCAAGTTTGGTGCACTTGAAGCGACAAATCGAGAGCGTTGGTACTCAGTGTGTGCCTTGCCTTTGATTCAATCAAAATTTGACATGCCCAACGAGCGCTGACCTTTCAAGAACGACCAAAAGATATTATCGTAAATGCATTTTTCTTGGCAAAGAGTATCAGAAGTAACATGCCCTATTTAAAGAAGTTATTTCAAAAGGCGTGAGTTTGGTCAACATACCATCAATTAATTAGAAGCTTGGGTGAAACAATTGCCGGCTGGTCCCACGTTTTAATATATCGGTGAATATCATTTGTGAATATGATGGAAATCTGACGCTTTGCATGTAGGAGCTTTGGGATGAATTTTTCTCACTTCAAAATGTGTCGATTCATAGTGTTACTTTTTTTTTCTTCTGGTGCTTAATTCGCAGTAATTCTCCTTTGCCATTGCCTTTCGCCATTGACGGTGGTTTATGTAACAGCATCTCGAGAAGCAGGGCCGAAATTCTCAGGAGCTTGTTTTCTTAAGTGATTTTTGCCATTGGTCGGGTGTCCTAGATAATCACATGCCCTGCCCAGGATTGACTAAAGATTTCTCCGACGTACGAACTTTTTTGTGGCGTTAGGGATTCTTATGAATATGAGTCGTGGGCCGGTTCTCCCAAAAATGTCTTATGAGAAAAAAAATTCCAAGAAACTATTTCAATCAATTCTGATGCTGTAAATATCATCAGTGAAGCCATCAGGCTATTGGCAAGAGCGCTTACGAAAAAGACGTTTTATAAATCAACTCCTGGGCCCGTATTAACAAAAGTATCTTAGGCCACTACTGTTTGTAAGATAACTTCTCGGCCAATCTTGATGTTGGACGCTTTGGTGAAGCCGGCTGACCAATGGCAATGTGCATTTGCGATCAAAAAGCTTTGTAAATTTGGCCTGCTCATTACAGCCTTGCGTAATAAGACCACAGTAACACAAATAGCTTGATATTTTTGTGCCGTAGCTTAAAAGATAGGTAATAACAAAGTCAGTTGTGTGCCCCACCGCGGTGGTCTATTGGCTAAGGCACTCGGCTGCTGACCTGCAGTTCACGGGATTGAATTCCGGCTGCGATGGCTGCATTTTCGATGGAGGCGGAAATGTTGTATAGGCCCGTGTGCTCAGATTTGGGTTTACGTTGAAGAACCCCAGGCATCGAAATTTCCATAGTCCTTTACTACGGTGTCTCTCATGATCATATGGTGGTTTTGGGACGTTAGACCCCACATATCAATCAATCAATCAATCAATAATTAAATAAATAAATAAATAAATAAATAAATAAATTAAACAAAGTCTGTTGTGTGTGCGCATGTGTTTTTACACACCAATGCAGGCTGAAGATGACCCTCTGCCTGAGTACACTTTCGAGCTCACAACAACTGCCTTCAGGGTGAACAGCGAGGGAATCTTGGTAGTCAACGAGCAAGATCTCGACAGGGACCCACCAAACCAGAACGTTCACACCTTTCAGGTTTGTATAGTTTTCCAAAACGAAACGCCACAGCCATAGACTTGCCCAGTTGCGCCATCAGTACGAAAGTATGGGATAGATTGCGTGTTGGTGTAGAACAATAATTTCGAATTTAATTAAACATTGACGCCTTTTATTTAGATCTCAACGTTCTCGGAAACAATACACTACCTGTATAAATGACCTATTTGGTGACACTTAGTGTAGTTGTTGTTGCATAATAAATTACAAGACTCGCTAGCACTGTGTGCTAGAGAAAAGTAGTCAGAATTATACTGTGACGTGCGATATTAATGTTTTGAATGCTAAAAAGCAAAACTTAATTTTTCGTATATTAGACAGAGCTTTGTGTGATAAGTTTGTGCACACGCACTTTGAAGTTTGTGGCCCAGCTTACAGAACAAGCATTTGGAACATCACAACGACAGCTAATTGCATCGTAGTTGTACGAACTTGCCGGGAAAGGCGCTAGTGTGCGCTCGAAAGAAACTAATTCGGGCAGAACGAGGCTGAAGTCTGAATATCTTTGACCGTTGGCTCAACGTATAACAAAACTTATCTAGCGCACTGTGTAGCATAAAACAGGAAAAAAAGCTGGCAAACTCTGCAACTCGAACAATATTCTCGACAGGCTTTTCCGAAAACACCAACACAATTACTCTGAACCCGTGTAGCATGTAAGTAATTTAGTTTAGCTCTTAAGTTTTTCATTCATACATTGCTCGCCAGTTGCTGTGTATTATGAATGCATGCTGCCTAGCTGCTCTGGTCATAACCTGAAGACCCAGCTAACCGAGAAAAGGAGCTCCGGTGTCATCGTGGTATGTTACGAAATACTTATTGATTACACGTTAGGGCTTTCGCTTATATCTCTCATTTTGCGTTTTCACTACTGTTTTTTAATGTTATCACAATAGAGACCTTTGTGCTGTCAAAAGTGGCATCACTAATGAAGAACTATATTTTATAATTGTAGTGGTAGACAGAGCGCGAGCCACTTGAAATCAGGGTAGTTCGCGCGGTGTTTTATTGATTCTTCACTCCTCTTTTTTGTCACAGAATGAGGCGCCGCTGACTGAAAGAATATGACTATCGTTTCTTTATCCAGCAGGGGTATCAGCGATGAATTGTCTCAGCCGCATCTATCCTTCAAATATATCTTTAGCCACCTAATTGTTGAGACATCGTGTGTGAGTAAATTCAAACAAGAGAGTGACATAGGTGACGAATTATGCAATTTACTTGGGAACCAAGCTGCATAGGTCTTCAGTTATGAATAGGGTTGCCAACCATCCTTGATTTTGCGGCACTGTCTCGACTTTTTGTACAGCGTCCCGAGCATAGGTCGGCGAACTCACTCATTAGTCGACTTACTCGGATTCACTGAGACTCAGATCGAACCGGGAGTCTGTGTCTGAATTAGCCCGGGTGAACAACATTTTTGTGAGTGTGAGTCCGAGTGAGTTGGCCTTATGAAAACTTTGGAGAGTCTGAGTCTGAATGAGTCCAAAGGGCACGGTACATTTCTTGAGTGGGTTTGAGTGAGGAGCATTTGTTTTTGCCAGCCAATCGTCGTACCTACTCATCTCGAGTGTTTCTATCAGCCTTACCTGGATTCACGTTTACACTCACGTCTACACTCGCACGTTTTTCACATAAGTCTGTTTCATTCACAATTTCAATATTTATCGATCAGAGGTGTGAAATAAATGGGAAGGTGCTTTGACCGCACCCCGTGAACTGTTCTGGTGATTATCATGATAAAGAAATCTTATAATCCGTTTCAAGAAACATTTCCTTAATGGCTTGCGAGCAATCATAACTCGCATTCAGCCGTATTTTTATTTTCATTTTTTTCTTATTCATTATTTTGTACTTTTCGGGCTGTTGCTATGTTTTTATACTTGTGTCTTTTTTGGCCCTCCCTTCTACAATGCTGTAAAACCCTGAGGCTAAAACTAAAATGATAATAATAATAACAGTAATAAATATTAATAATAAGAGTACAAAATATCAAAAGGCACTGGGAAAAACACTAGTTATGTGAAAAGTTGGTGTTAAAGAGCATTAAAACCACTGTAGAAAAATGTAATTCTGTACTAACAGACTCACGAGTCAACTCATTTGGGCTCACTTAGACTCAGATTGAGCCATGACTCTGAGTCTGAGTGAGTCTGGGTGAGTCTGAGTACAAGTGAGCCCTAAGTGCAAAATATATAATGAGCGAGTCTGAGTGAGCTGCACAAATTTTGCCCACCAATGGTCCCGAGTCTCATGCTGTCCCAGTCGTATGTACCGCATTGGCTCTGGACTGTTCAGTTAGAAGATCTATGTGGTAGAACACACACACAACAACGCATCTCACGCTACGAATCAAGAAGTTTGCGCGAATCGCACTTGCAAAGCAGCCTTGCGTTAGCTAGCGGTGGCTGCGAAGGACTTTAGTCGCCTTTGTTGAGAACTTTCTCGAGTAGATTCTCCACCAGGATGAAGTGTGGCAGTTTGGGCTAGTTGGTATGACATGACGGTAGATATAGCGCGAGAACAAAACGACGACAAAAGGAAAAGAAGGAGATGAGCCCTTCGTCGCCGTTCTGTTCTCGCGCTATATCTACTATCAGGAGGAAGTGTCACGAACAGCGCACAGCCAGCTGAACTACCACTTCCAGAGGCTGCAACCATAAACAAACAATGCATTTGTCTGGAATGAAAATAACGCAACGTAAAAACAGATTTTGTTCCCTTCTTACCCCCTCCCCCTTCTCAGAACCGCTTTATTGAAGAGTTAGTAACCCTTGTTATAAATAACATTTTGACATTAAGGATGCTTTAGCTCGATGGCAAGGGCAACACTGGCGTTATAGATACAGCACTAACCCCAAAGGGAACGACGGTATAGGCGTATAGCATGTCATTGGTTTATCAGTCTTGTAGTTGCGTGAAATGTCTTTTCGTGGGGTCGAAAGTAAAACAGAAAAAAATCAATTGCAGGTCGTGGCCCATCAAATGAACAGTGAGCCGGGGAAAGGCAGCAGTGCGCCCATCTCCCTCAGCGTCCGCCTGAACGACGTGAATGACAACAGCCCGAAGCTTCCTACCCTCAGCCCTGTCACAATTCAGGCTGGAGACGGAGTGCGCAACGTCACGCAGGTAAGCATGCATATATTGATAACCTGGTATACTCTGCAGTGTGGTTGATATTGAGTCTTTTAGGTGCCCTAATTACGGTCTGTCATTACGGTATTGGTGTGGGCGTATCGGTGGAACCGTATTGGTGTGGCCTCTTGAGCTTGGGGATGGCTTTGTCAGTGCCCATAAGGCACTCATTAACACAGTCGAAGTCGCAGGGTACATCTATTTATGCCAGTACATCAGAAAGGATACATAGGGCTGTATTTAGTAGGTAACTACAGATGATCCATGAGATGTAGTTTTGCTTACACGACGATTACCATCACTTGTTTAACAGTTTGTGGGAGGAATTCTATCAGTAGCTTAATGTAACAAGGTTCTTGGCGGTTGACTCTGCAGATGCTTGAACGCAACCCGAGCCGCTACTTGGTCAATCGCTGACGACGAGGCCTGCGTGAGGTATATTAAATGAAAGACGCTATTGACTGTGTGTCTGCTACATAGAATGTACCGAGTTCAACTGCATGAACGAATTATTGAGTAAAATTTTCAACTGTTTGTTGGTTCCCTCAGTTTCATAGTCCCGTAGCTTCTAGAGGGGACGTCCTAGACACATCCTACAGGCTTAGTGTACATTGTCCTGGGTAAATATGCAAGAATTCATGTTATATTGTTCAAACCACTTGTAGCGCCTTCATCATCATCATCATCATCATCATCATCATCATCATTATCATCATCATCATCATTCCTTAGTCACCACGCTGCACTTCTCGCCCTGCTCGGGCTCAGAGCTCGAGGCGCGGGCTAGAAGAGAACAAATCCTCGCGCATGGCGGCTAGGACACAGGCAGCCATCGCCGCACCACTTTGACTTTCCAGAATAAAGTGGCAAGGTTCTACATGTCTCTGTGCCTCTCGCTACACACTCAAGAGAAAGAAACGACCAAGATCATAAGCGATCTTATGAGGTAGGTAAGTGGGAATTCGGCACGTGCTGACACAGGTCTATCGTGAGTGCAGGAAGAACCGTTGCAATAAAGAGTACTTAACAGTAAGAAAAATTGCGAATATGCACTTTGACTTCGATTCTGCTTGTCATCATATCGAAACGTGTTTTGTTTGCAGGTTCAGGCCCGTGACGATGACGAAGGAGAGTTTGCCCGCATCAGTTACTCTGTATATCACGTCTCCAACAACGGTCGCGACAAGTTCCGCATCGATCCCAACACTGGTGTGGTGCAAGTCATTGGTAGGGTCTCTTCAGGGGAACAGTACAGCATCACTGTGCAGGCTACGGATTCCGGGGCCAGGTATATCTCTTACTACATTTCAACTAGTCATTGCACTGCTTGCACTGGCATGTTTTATGCAACGAAAAAAAAAGTGTGCCTTGCATGTTATTTGGCTGTGCTGCCTAAGCAATACAAGTGCTGTGCAGTGCTGTTTTAAATTGTTACTAAGAGCAATAAAAAACGGTAGCCAACTTCACGAAGCATTACACCCGAATGAACTACTTATAGTATGCCAACCTTCGCCATGTATATGTTAGAGGCCATGAGTTACTGGCCCACATGTTTATGGAAATTGACTACTGAACAAACCATGGGGCGACTCAGGTGAAAATTCGCAGTAGAATTCATTTATGATCGTCATATCAGTTCATTCTGGAACGAGATATCGCTGAACTGGGACACTTTGGTGTGATATTGGAAAGTATTGCTCACTACCTCCACCTCATTATTAGTTACCGAAATTTCGACACAGTCTTAGCTAATAAATACATGCATTATTATAGAATATCCTCATAGTTTGAACCTTTGGTTACTTCTTAGAAATCAAGATTTATACGCAACGCTGTTGTGAAAACTGGGCCACCTCGACCAAGAGCTTGTGATGCTTTACTTGCCCGGAAAAGAAAAAAATCACTCAGTCATGACGTTGAACATAAAATTAGCAAAAGCAGCAAGCCAATTACATAGCTATCTTACAAAAAAAAAGACTCTGAATTGGGCGTCAGCTGCTCGTATTCACGCTGAAATAGCGTAAAGATGTTTAGCCTACCATCCACTACTGCGCCTGTCATAATCATATGGTGGTTTTGGGACGTTAAACCCTATACATATATATCAAAAATGTTCAGCCAATCGTGATGCTCGGCATGTCACAGGGGCAGCCAGCCTCCAAATGGAAATTAATGCGTAAATCTGTAGGAATTAAGCGCACGAAATAATTTTTCACAAGGGTTGCAATTTTGCCTTGTTGGGGCGGAATACTGCAGGAAAAGCGCAAAGAATATATGAACTGAGCGCATGTGACGTGTTTTTTTACTGTCCTTGTATGTTTGATATTTACTCGCAGTATGAATTTTTGTTCCGATGCAAGATATTCACGCGGCATTCTTGTCTAGATTCAGCCAAGGAATTCTGGATGTGATAGTGATACCCGGACCAAACACTGGTGGCCCCGTTTTTTCCAAAGAGAAGTACGAGGCACAAGTCAGCGAAGGGGCTTCCGTTGGTTCTGCTGTGCTTACACTAAAGGTATGCAGCTTAAAGCGTTAACTGAAGCTGATAAGGAAAATAAAATCACGGAGAAAAAGCTACGAGCCTTAAGCGTGGCACGTGGCTCCGCTTAGAAGAATACACTGGATATGTGACTGAAATATCAGCGCAATAAAGCAGTGCACGAAACAGTGCCAATCAAGCTCATTAAGCGTCTGAACGTATACCCAATTTATTGACACGATACTTTACGGCAGTGAAACTGTCATCGAGAATTGTCCGGGATCTTCTGAAATGAGGAATTGTGGTAATTACTTTTGAATAAATATCGAGTAAAATCAAAGATACTCATTATATTAAGCTTCAAATAAAGTTGATAGAAGATCGTTTGCCTGTTTGATTGCTTACAGTTAGGCTAAATCATCGCACCTAGAGAAGGAAATGTGGTGGTTTTTGCTGCAGAGTGGTTATACTAGAGGTTTTCCGTGTGTCGTGAATAGAAAATTGTCATCATGAACTAGCACGAACTCTCTTCACCCTCTTGTTTATTTTGCAACCCGTCTTCCTCTACAGCTGCGCTCCCAGAACACGTGCGCCGATTTATCCGGCGTGGGATGCAATAACTGTGGTGGTCGAGAGAACAAGTACAGATGGTGAGAAGGAAAGGGATAGAGAGAAAGAGAGCAATAGGTTGAAAAAGAAAAAAAAGAGAAGGGGAGAGAACGACTGCACAGAGAGAAAGAGGGGGAGAAAAAAGAGAGGGAGTGAGAGAAATAAATACATAGAAAGCAAGAGCAAAGTGGAGAGAAAGAAATGGGAGAGAAGAAAAACTAGAAAGATGTAGAGAGAGAGACAGAAAGAGATGAAAAAAAAACAGATATAAAAGAAGATGGCATATTCTACCAAAGGGTGAAATAAAGAATGGGGTCAGAGGGCACCTAGTCAAGCCGCGACTGGCTAGATACCCATCAGTTCTGCTGGAACTCAGCCGTGCGTGACTTTGCGCAAGCTGCGCAATTTTTAAAATTTCATTTGGGCAGTTGGTCAAGAGAATCTGAGCTGCGAGGTCATGGAACTCGTTAGCACGAGTAACTTCCATGGCTAATGAAACGCGCACTCACTGGCAGAACTTAACAAACACGACCATTCTCTGCAGTGTTGCGGCCTGAGGTATCAGCACCCTAGAGAACAGCATATACCCATAGCCGTAGTCATGGTGATAGTTACCCTAATAATGATAATTTAAACTTTGTCAGAATTTTAGTTTCAAGCCCTTGTATCCATAATATTACTCTTTAAGCTATATACATCACGTGCTTGTTCTTTATAACTATTCTACGATTAGAATTAACTGTTAAGGTCATTTTTGAGCATGACTATGTGCGTGTTTTGTGGGATAATTTAGAATGAACTTCTTTTCGAGCCTCTCAGTAGGCATTTGGAGAGAAGGGGCACACATAAGTTATTTTTGACGCATTGTGTCCGTCAGTTCATACAAACATTATAATGAAACATTAACAGCTATTGGTATTTAGGTATTGAAGTTGTTTGCAGGAGTATAGGATTAACTCACCCTATTATTACCAGAATAATTGCAAGCACCAAAAGAATAAAAGGCTATTTTCTTGAAGACCATGATCTTGCGTTGGCTTTCCATTATTTTATTATTATGTGCTTTTTATCTGATTTTGTACTTATGTCTTTATCATGACCAGTTACCTCAGCCCATGGTAGCCAGTTGGTCTGAGAACTGGCTAACCTTCCGGTATTTCCGTCTTTTTCTTCCTCCTCCTTCTACAGATATTTCTCATTGGCACCTTTCTCTTTTTACATGACATCTTTCTCTTTTTTCATCTTCTTCCTTATTTATGTAACTTTACTGATGTAACCTTAGTCGTAGAATTACGAGACAGGTTAAATAATTAAGTTCTGAGCTGTGTGTAGTGAGCCGCCGTGACACTTTATTTGAAGAATTCTCTAATTACTGTTTTCTTATGCTTTTCCACTGAAGGCAACAGACCCAGAAGGTGATGACGTCACGTATTCTATTGTTGAAGGAAACGAGAAAGGCGTGTTCGCCATCGATTCGTCGAGGTAAGCAAACTAATTATTGAATGCTCGCACTACGCCTAGCGCGTACCTGTAGTTACGTATACTATAGCGTATGCGTATACTACAGCGTATGCTATAGCGTATATGTATATACTTTAGCTCATGCGGAAGCTTTGTGAACAAGTCATGAGGTGTCCAAATGTCAGTAAACTTTGTCCTTTTTGTAGGTGTATTCTTTCGCGTTTACACCGAAACACAAGTTACAGGCGTATAGGACAAGTCTACTCAATAAGCTGAATTGCCTGAACCGGCCAACAGTATTGGCTTTCAAAATGAAAATACTTGAGAAATAAAAATGGACTATTCAGCTTCTAACTACATAATTACTTTCATCGCAGTAGATGATTGAAGGCAGTGATTTCATACGATGCATAAACGTCGAGCGCATGCACTGTGAAACATCAAGCTTTAGATGAACTGTTGTATTAGGTTGCAGTGTTTTTCCACAAACGTTATTTATTAATCGCATTTTCTCGCATCCTTGCTCAGTAACAATTTTTATAAAATGCATTTCAGGAAATAATTTCAGGGAATAATGAATGTAATGCACACACTTTGGTATTGTGTGCCTCAAAACTGATGCTACTTTGTGAATAAGTTCCAAATTAATACAATTTGCGAATTCGGGACCTGCAACAACTGCTGTATAATAATCTCCAGAACTTTAGCAATTCAGTTGATAGCACATGCCATTTTCTTGAAGAAATTACGTCCATAATGTTGGGTAGCCCAGTGTTTAGTGGTCTATCTCTTTGAGCCCTGTATTTTAGAAGCGTGCTTCTCGACCGCTAAGAACTTGTGGCGTCTATGTTTGCAGTGGGACAATATCGGTCGCCAAGAGCCTCGACCGCGAGGAAGTGGCCTCGTACACCCTGCAGGTCAAGGCTGAAGACAGGAACACTTTGGTAAGACAGGCGAAAGATTTGATGTTGACGTGTGCAAGTTTCCATATAGAAGGGTAGTTTTTTAAATGCATAGTGAAACGGCCAAAAGAAGAGGTATGAAAAAACATTGTCCGTTTGCTTAGAGATTAGCTGCGTATCTTTTACGTTGGTACCCGTTGAATGTTTGATAACTCACAATGTTGTTTTAATGATAGCTCATCGAAAATAGTGTTGTGCTGCTAAGATCGAGGACCTGGATTTGATTACTGGCCACATTTTGATAAAGGTGAAATGTAAAGAGAGAGAGGGAAAAAACACTGGTGCATTTAGAATGCTAAAGTATTCAATACAACATACCTTTACATTTCGTTGCAGTTTTAGTAGTTGAAATTGCAGAATTTGATTTTTTTAAACGCTATACACCGGGGGTCATGTCGGAGGGGGGGTTTGAGAACTAATACTGCTGCATTGAAATTACGGGCTTAACGTAGTGTAAAAGGTCTAATCATATGCATCGCATGTATTTGACGTCACCTTAACACAATCGACGTTCGTCCTTTGTGCACTCTTTCTTTATACCGTTATTATAAGCACCGATTCGACCATGTTTTCTCTAACACCAACACTTTTTTTCCCTCTCGCATGAATAATTTATGGTTAAATGGCGTACTGAAGGCGTGCATAAAAAGCGAGTCAACTTTTCAGACTTCAATTTCGAAATTCATCTAGTCAGACAGAAGTTATACAATCTACTAGTTTTATTTACCCCATCATAAAAAATCACTTTAGGCAACTTTAATTTCAGTGTGTTAACACTGATGAGCCTATGAACATGCATTGAATAGTAATGCATATGAGCACGCAAATCACAGCGAAGTCCTCATTTATGTACCATTACTGATTACTAGTTGTTCTTGCAGTTCAACTTGGCGATGGTGAAAATAGCCGTGACAGATATAAACGACCAGAATCCGGTGTTCGTGCAAGATAGCTACAACTTTACCGTCGAGGAAGGGAAGGCCGGTGCTGTGGTTGGTACTGTCCAGGTCAGCACCCTTCTCTTTTTCTTCATCTCGCCTCTGGCGAATAATTCTTCTTTTCGCATCATGTGCTAAGTATTCTTTCGCCAGACCGTACGTACAATGTGAGAGATGCGTGCTCCGACAACTGCTGCCCCTTTTTATGTTACAGGCCCGCGATGAAGACGTCGGCGCCAACGGGGAAGTTTATTATACGATTGCTGGAAATGGGTAAGCGAGAAGAGTTACTTCACCGGTTGTTGTTTATGCTTACAGTCACCATATTAAGAAATTAAGGAGTGCGGCATTTATACGGGCATGCGAGTTGAAGCAAAGTAGCCCTTTTTGCACTCTTGTTTAAGAAAGAAGAGTAAAATAATCGTAAACATTGCGGACCTTTAGCGTTCCAGGTTGATGCCAATTCATTATATTGCCACGTTCCATTTCCCAAGTTTTTGTTATCGTCCCAAAACACCACCGCGCCTGCAGTTTTCGAGAAGATTCCGCACTGTAGTAGATCATTTCGATAAGATCACGCCCACTGTGCGAATGGTACAGATTGTTCTGGAACCTACGCCACCGCCAGCGATAACGCTAGAACATTCGACGGCAAGAGTATAAATGCCGACATGCTTCGCCGCTTGTCAGTAGTTGTTGATCGAAGGCCGACGCTCCATTCGCCGCTATCAGTCCGAGACTGCTATCTGTGCGAGACTGCTGCTGTAATTGGACTATCGTTTACCGGGCACAGGTTCGCCTAAATAAACAGTTAAATCCCAACACGAAGTCTCCTGTCTTCGGCCACGTCACGACCCCGTGACAATATCCGATTTTTTCTTCTACCCCCTTTTTTGCATTACACCTGCATAGGGTAGCCAATCAAATGCATGTCTCATTATCGCTAGTTAGGGAGTAGTGATAATTTTGAAAAAAAAATCTGCTTAATTCAAGAACATATAGATTCAAGAACATACATGCGATTGAAGCGCACTTCATTTTCACCAATAAACACAACTCAATGTGAAGAGACGCGATCAGGGCCCATGAAGTCAGGTAAAGCTGGGGTGGGAATTTGAACGTCCTACTCTCACCACGATTGAGCACTTGCTGAATATCTTATAACAAACCTTTTTCAGGGTCACAGGCTGATTCCCGCTCGCGATACACTGTATTAACGCGACAAAAGTAGGTTGCAGGTCGTGTCGAATTAGTGTATTAGTCAAAATGATACATTTTTGTGCCACTCAATCACTGCTCTATTCTGCAGTCGCGTGACTGTGGCAGCAAAGCCAGTGTATCAATTAGATGCGGGTAGGACAAGGGCGCCTACTTGTTTCTGATTTCCAAACACAGCTTGGTCTATCGTTAGTGCCTTTAGAAACCTAACTACATGCGTGTTTCCACAATGCATTATGGCTCTTCTTCATGAAGAATCTTTGAATGAGGCAAACTCGGATGAATGTCTCTAACGTGTGTGTGCCGTCGCAGTGACTTTGGCATCGATGAGCAGACGGGCGAGGTGACGACTCGCCGCGCCTTGGACTACGAGCGCCAGCGGGAGCACGTGTTCGTCGTGACGGCCAAGGACAAGGCACCTGACGCGCGCATCACCACCGCCAGCGTCACGGTTCGCGTCCAGGACGTGCAGGACGAGAGGCCGTACTTCGAGCGTGCCTTCTACGAGACCTCAGTGCCCGAAAACCAGAACAACATTAACGTCGTCCAGGTCAAGGTGCGTACATACACACACTTAACAGCAGGGGGGGGGGGGGGTTGGGCCGAATTCACAATGTTTTTGGTTGATGGGTGTTATTTTTTATTTGCCAGTCACTCTAGATAATGATACTCTAGCATCAGAATTGGCACAGAATATTTAGTAGGAACAAATATAGAGTAAGTGTTTTTTGTGATTGTATGTTTTGAAGGTGTCATTTTGTGGGGTCTTCTCCTAAAGGACCTTAAAACAACCTTCATAATACAAAAGAACGAGCGCGTTATTATCTCCTGGCGTTTACTATCTTTTGACGCACTTCGTGACGTCAGGAGGTCGATTGACGTGACGTCACAAACTCTCTACTGGTGGATACGCGAGAGGTGTGAGTTGCGGATAGTCTCCTACCACGCTTTGCCGTGCAGTCGCAAGCCTCCGCTGCCCTGCCTCGCTTGACCATTGTGCGCTATCAAATGATTCAACTTCTGAAAGAGCATTTTTCATTGTGCAGGAGCAGATGTATGTCGGCTTGTAGCCGAAAAGTGCTTAATCCTCATAAGTTTAATGCTTAGTACTGACATTGCCTGTAAGGAAATAAGTAGCGAATGAACAATGAAGGTGAGACAGAAACCGTTCTGTTCTTCGAGCTGGGGGTCAGAGCTGTATGCAGATTTTTTTCTCGAGTGGGGGCACACCTTAACTTAAAGAGAGGCTGGGCAGGCAAATGGTCATTTTGCGTTGTGTATGCACGGCGAAAAACATTTGGGGGGGGGGGGGGGGGGGGGTTGCACGGGCCCGGAGTGGCACTTACCGGTTACGCCACTGCTCGGGGTGTCTTGGGGCCCTTCAAGAAAAAGGCTTAGCTCTGAAGCGGTCGTCTGATTGCAACAAAACAGGGACATAGTTTTTCTCAGCAAGCATTGACTTTAATAATATTTTGAAGGTATAAAAGATAACTTTTAAATCAGTGTCACGAGAAAAACAACAATATTACTGCTGCTGCAGTACAAAGAGATATCGCTGGAGACACCAACACCAATTTGGCGTAGAATGGCTCGTGAGGATGGACTCTTTGCGGTGCAGGCTACTGATCCGGACGGCACTCCCAGCATCACGTACACCATCCGGGAAGGCGATCAATCCTTATTCGCCGTCGATCCGGTGACCGGCGTCGTAAGGACGATCGCAGGCCTCGACTATGAGAAGAAGACAAGTCACACGCTCATCATTGGCACGCTGGAGAACGACGCCAATGAGGCTATGGCCACCTGCACCGTCCGTGTCGCTGTCGAGGTGAGAGTGATGACAGTCCACACGCTTCAATCCAAACATGATCAGGCGAGCCGCCAACCACAAGGAACATGAAAAGAATTTTTTTCGTATCTTGATAGTACTTTTTTCGTTGTTGCTCTTGTTGCCGTTGATAATGATGGTTATGATTTAGTTATTCATATATACCATTTTTGTTGCAATGTTTGACGTATATTTCATCACTCCTGTTGCAATGTATTCTTTGTTGGGCCCTACGATAGGTTGTTCAAGCTTCTCTGTATACCCCCCTCCCTTCCACTGTAATGCCTAAACCTACCTGTGGGTACAAGAAGAAATAACTAAATAAATAAGTAAATAAGTATGGGGGTGAATTCAAGCAGGCGTCCTTGTGAAAAAATGGCTGGATTTCAAATGTTTCGCTTCTTTGTTGAATATTTTTGATGTTCGAATATTTTCGTCCCTTTTTTACTCGCTGTTCCTGCTCGTGGAAATGTAGGTGTGTCTGTAATACAATTGTTTGCATTTTTTATGGGATAATGGTGAAAATGTATTATGCCTGTATGATACAGAAGCAGAAAAATGACGTAAAGTTGTGAAACATTTGGCTAATCGATGATATAGTTGCCGGCACTTCCGTTCAGGAACCTGAGAGTCTTTTTGCGCTAAATATTAATTTCTGTAGCCGCTTATGCACCTGGCCTTCAGTTCGATGTGAAGTACAAATTGCTGAACTTTGCTTCACATGATATTTTCAGGACCTCTCTTCCTATCTTTTTATTGCACTCTTGTCTTTCTTCCATCCTTTACAGCTTCCTCTTCCTCGCAAAGGGTTTAGTAAAACGAAATTTTGTTGTAACCTTCTTCCCCACAATTCTAGCTTGCTTCGTGTCTGTCCGCACAATAGCCAAGCAGCAACTCAACCATAGTGTACTTATCAGCGCACATGTGCTCCAAAAGTAAAAAAAAAAGAGCTTGGGAATAGCGGCCAAGCTACGCAAAAGGTAATGCGAGTGTGCTACATCAAACAAGTGGTTCTTTTGTTTTTATAAAAAAATGTGCCAGAAGAAAGTGCCTCAATTTTCGTTAAACAATCTTTCCTGATGGAGCGCAGTGGCATTCAATTTTGCGTAGCTTGGCCACAGTTCGCGTGAGCCGTTTTACTTTTGGAGCACCTGTGTATACGTTTTCATCTGCCAAGAACTATTCTTACGCGGCTTTCGAATGGTGGATATTTATAACCGACCTACCCGACTCTGAATATTTGTATACTTGGGCTCAAAGCCACTTGATTTACTGTGCACCCTCGCTACGTGTGCTCAGGACCGGAACGACGTTGCCCCACGCTTCGCGAGCGTACCGTTGCCGATCAGGCTCCAGGACACAGTACCGCTGGGAACCATCGTGACAACCGTCGTGGCGACCGATGGAGATGGATCGGTGAGTTCGCCTCTGTCGCTGCGCCTGCATTAGATGGGTGGTTTCTGCGTGCACTATGGATGAACTCACTTCCAGCAAGGTTCGCGATCAGAACTACGTCCTCCATTTGAACGCCATTTTCTTGAACGAAAAGCATCAAAACAAGTCGTGCGTGAGTTTGAACATTGTGACAACTGCAGTGATTCTCGTGTCTAATTAAGGGAAGAAAAAACAGCTGTTTAGGTATTACTAAAGTTCTTAAACTGCATAGGCACTGCAGTAATTATCAGTGGGAATAAAATAATATGTTGCTGAATTCTGCTGGCTTTAAATATTTTATTACTAATAATTGTCAGTTAACGTCAATATATTATTTAAATATAGCTTATAGTAAGGTTTACTCATAAAGATTAACAGAAAAATCCACCTGATAGTCGGCCAGTGTCTTGCGTTGGGCATGAGTCATGGTCAAACAACAGCGACCACCATGTGACCCTTTCTCCAACAGGCGCCTGGCAACGTAGTCCGTTACGAGATAAGCGGTCAAGGAAGGGCACCATTCTATTTCCTCATTGACAGCACCAGTGGCGTAATAACAGTCAAAGATGACCTCAGGAAGGAACCTGACTCGGAGTACCGGGTAAGCTTCAACAAACCTATTTTCGTATTCGAATTGTTTTCAGACGGCAGCGTTCATGCTTCACATGCTTCATTTTTCTCACGGAACGTGTGATTCCAGATCGAAGTTCAAGCTAACGACTTGGGTGATCCATCACTAGCAGCTACCGCCGTCGTCACAGTCTACGTGGAACACATTGCCACAGTGCCACCCGATTCTGGGCTGGGTTTCGCCGATGGATTTTATACGTGAGTGCACTGTTTTTTTTTTGGTGTTTATGACAATAAGCTAGTTTACGAAATTTCGTTGTCCTTGCTTACCACACAGGTGGGCAGAGGTTGGTTGGTGGATGATGGTGCGTGTGTTCCACGCATCTTGCGCTTTTAGAAACATTGGCAGTGCAGCTCTTGTGGGTTGTGAAAAATATTTTCCCACTACTCAGCTTGTTGCGTCGCCTTTCATTTCTCTCTCTACTCTGATGGGAAGTGGTCACTTATGGGAATGCGGATGCAGATTTTCGACAGCACCTGCATGACTGATGCAATCGGGAGTGTTGGGCTAAATAATCATGGTGTAGTACCACCAAAGTATGTCGCTTATGCCTGCTCGTTTAAGCCTACTTGCTTTAACAGAATTGCTATTTCTGATGCTAACTATCAATTCCTCGCCTACAGCAACCAGGCAGCATAATTTGGAAACGTAAAAAACAACAGTATAGACGCAGACCTGTCCTAAATACTCATGCGTACTTGAAAATGTCGTATTTCTTTCATGGAAAATTGTTGTATCTGCAAAGATCATGTGAATATCATCGAAAAGTCATCAATATTATTGGTGTACATAAGCAGCGGACCGCTGGAGTTTTTGCCTAGTTCACAAGAAGGCTATTATCACACACGTGAAAACAACGTCACAGTGAACTCCACATACTTTTAAGTCTAAGCTCTGTGGCCTGCCCTGTGGCTGTATAGTGTTAACGATAGTAATTATTATTATGGGAAATTAATTCTTAAAGAAAATGTTCGTCTAGAAACATTTGCCTAATACGCCGTAGCAGCTTAGTATCTATGGCGTTGTGCTGCTTAGTTGGAGGTAGTGGGTTCAATTACATTCATAGCAAGAGAATTTCAATGGCAGAGAAATGCCAACACAGCCGTGTACAACTAAAAAAATAAAAAAACAATATGTGGTCTATGTTAATCTGCTATCTCCTACTAACACGCCTTATGTAATCAATATTCAGATCGTAGGGCTAACACGTAAAGTCTCAGAATGTTTAGACACACGCATGTCATAAGGTTGTTATCACTCATGTATGTAAACCAGAGCTTTAAGATCTTTGGGCTCCCAGCAGTGATCGGGAAGAGGCATTCTATCGTGACAAAAAGCGCACAATGTCTAAGACATTGTTTACCGATAGGACAGCCTGATTTCAGATAAACAATCAGTGCAATTTTGTTCTCTCAGGGTTGAAGTGCCAGAGAACGCATTGGCTAACACCCTCGTCAAATCTTTGCCAATCATCAACAAGCCACGAGGGAATTTTCCCGTTCAATGCCAGATTGTCACAGGAAACGAGAAAGGTAAGATAAAGCAATAAGAATGCATTGACCTTCTAATTAATAATTTTCCGCGGTGAACAGTAATAAATATATGAAAACAAGTGTTGCGCATTGAAAAAAATCACGACATTCTGGCGGCGGTATTCTTTATCACGTTACCAGAGCATGACAAATGACATGATAAATGGTGTGGAGTATTACAAATTTAGGGACAATGCACCTGATTTTTCTAAGTGGGCCGAAACATGTTGCCTTGCTTCTTTGCTAGGGCTGCTTGTCCAGATGCACAGTTATCATATATTCACATCTCTACTTTCTCCCTTCAGGACATTTCTACATACTTGACAATGAACAACGTGACTGTGAAGTGCGTGTTCAAAACCAAAACCTTGACTATGAAGAGCAAAACAAGTACCTCTTGACTGTCCATCTGAACACAATCGGGGGAGTGTTTGGTAAGTGGGAACTCCAATACGTTATCCGTTGGGAGTTACAAAAATTTTCTGTTTTTATCTATAGTCAGCCAGTAAATTGGAGCTCAATTCGTTAAGCTTTTTGCTTATATGGGATTGTTGCCCTTGGGGGGGGGGGGGGAGTGATTTTACATAAAAAGAAGAGAAAAAGTGAGCCCCGTAACTGTCTCTCAGGGGGAGGACACCTCCACAGTAGGTCATGAGGGGCGGGGGTAACAGAGGGATTAAAAGAAAAAGGCAAATAAATAGAGAGAAAGGAAGGAGAAAGTGAGGTGCAAGGACAGCGAACAACGGTAGTAAGGAGAAGATAGGAAAGAGGGACACGGTAGCAGGAGTACGAGGACGGGGCGAGGACGGGGCACCACTCGGCGAGAGCTCTTGTCGGCATCAGGAGATGGCGTAGGGCAAGCCCAGTCGGCCAGAGCTGCGCTGTCGTCGGAGATCCCGGGGGCACAACCAGTCGGCACGAAATTCAGCGAGCGAGTCCATTGCCCTTGGCCTCTCGGCTTGGCAAATGATGTGTCTAGCGCCAGCATTGGTCGAAATTTTCTATTACAGACAATTCTTGCGTAACACCTTATTGTGAATACGAGACCTGATGTAATTGCTCTAAACATAACATCTTCATTGTCACAAGGTTTGTGTGTGTGTGTGTGTGTGTGCGTGTGTGTGCGCGCGTGCGTGTGTGCGTGCGTGCGTGCGTGTGTGTGTGTTTGTGTGTGTCGCTTTGCGGCTGAAACCACGGGCTGTGCGAGTTCTTCAATACGCTGTTTAAAGAACAAGTGGCAAACTAATCTTAATATCTTGATCTTGCTTTTGCGCTGAATTCAGTGACCTTATCGTGCGCATGTTTTGGAAGCAATGCAGCCTTCCTTTATTGCTTCTTCCCCTTCGTGGTCTGACTGTGTGGGCGTGTCGTAGGTTCATCACGGCTGACGACCCAAGTGGCTGTGCATCTGATCGACCAGAACGATAACAGGCCGCGCTTCGTGGTGCCTCCTATGTACAGCCAGTTGACGCAGAACCGCTACCTGGCGGCGCTCTCGTCAGATGCACCCGCAGGCACGCGCTTCATCCAAGTAACGGTCAGTAGCAAAGCACCCCACTCGTAGTAATGTAATTGACTTGATTGGAGCTGAAAGAGAATATTCGGCTGCAGTTCCCGGAGCTGACGCATAAATTGAGAATGGTTATGAGGGTGTCTATGGATCCCCGATAGGTTGCCTCAGAACATTCTACCGTTATCGACACGATCAAAACGAAGTATCTTTCCTTCTCAAAGTTTAACTGGGTTTGGGCCGTTTATATTTGGTTCTATTATGTCACATGAATTCAAGTTGAATGTACTTTCTTCATGATAAAACAAGCCCAGTTTAAGAGAGACTCCCGGCACAGACTGCCAACAGTGTTCATTGGGCGAGAGAGACAACACGGATATACCACGCGTCTTCAGAAACTCAGCATAAGCTGATTGTTGTTACAATACAATAATAAGACCAATCTTGCGTATGTCTAAGAACCGCACTGCAAAATGATGAGTTTTCTCCCAATATTGATTAAATAGTCAATGACGCACCGTATTAACAACCACACAGACAAAGAAACACTCAAAGACACCACGAGCACTCAATCGTTGACTGCCTGAGTAGCAAAATTTATCCAATCATATCGTTGATAACTTGAGTAATTTCGCAAAACTTGCCTGTAAAACTTGTAGTACATTCTATAGCACCACCTTCCATTGTGCAGTTTGTTGCACCTTTCATATTTTTCGAGTTTCAAGCACGAGGTGCAACACATGGAGGAAGAGTAGGCGCAGCACTCCCGCTTTAAAAATCTTGCTCTACTCAATGGTTTGTTCGGTGATCGCTTGAAAAGTGACAAGGCACCAGTTTAGCTGTTGGTTGCTGCTGCGAGCAGAACATCCGGGTGAGTGACGCGGCATGACAGTGCCACATGCCCCGTACTACCAAGGAACGCTGTTATTTTGAAGCACCTTTTGAAAACGCTGCTGTCACTTGCGCTCAGCTCACCCATTATCCATGTTTCGCACCAAAGCTGTGAAGAGAAGAAAAACAGTAATAACTGGGAACGGTGTAGCAAGCTGAAAGAATACGAAACTGGGCTTTCAGATGTAATGCACATATATACACACGATCAAGCTTAAGCAATAATGCATGCATATGCTAATTTGGGTAAAAAATCAACCAAGTGAGGTAACCTATGGTACAAGAGAAATTCAACATTTTATGCAAGGCAATGGCTGAGAACTTAGAAGTGCTTGTTGCTGGGCTAGTTGGTTCGTCATACTGAGGGAAATTTCTAGATGCCTAAACCACCACAGCAAGGGACGCACACAGAGAAAGAGCGTCAAGTTCCTTTCTTTAACAGGCTAGAAATCACTTCAGGTAGCTCCACGTTGTCTGGCAAATGAAGCTCAGCTGGATCAGCAGATACCCTCCTGGGTTTCCTTGGCAAAAAATTTAGTGTGCATCGCTACCAAAATCTGGGCGATTACTCGATGATAACTTTTTAACTTGTGATGAACGTACCACCCCGTGTCCACCTCAAAGAACTTTGCTCGTAGACAGTCTTGCAGAAACCTGCCTCCAAACTTCAGATTTCCAGATCAGGCATACCCTCTTCAAATGGCCCATTGAAGGCTGGACTGGTCCAAGCAAGGCCTGCACTTCAAGAGGAACTAGTCCATTGTTGACGCAGAAAGCCAAATATCTTGCGTGACACGTAGAAGAGGCTTATGTGCGACTAGTAGTAGCGGCTCCGTGTGAGAAAACTTAGAACAGAAAGCAGGGCTCACTATAGAAGAAATTTAACTTAGAAGTACTTGTTGCTGGGTTAGTCGGTTTGTAATACTGAGGGAAACTTCTAGACGCATGAGCCACCACAAGAAGGAAGACACACAGAGAAAGAGCGTCTCTGTCTCTGTGCCTTTCTCTCTGTGGTGGTTAAGGCGTCTAGAAGTTTCCCTCAGTATGGCTGAGAAAGCAGTGTTGTTCCCAGCTTCTTATCTCATTGCCTTTTTCAAAGATGAGCTTAGCTTTAATTGACTGTGAAGCGGATTATAAGTCATCCTTAGTGGGGATAATACAGATTTGCTCGTAATTAGCTCTTTCTGTGATCACACACACATACACACACACACAAACACACACACACACACACACACACGCACACACACACACACACACACACACACACACACACACACACACACACACACACACACACACACACACACACACACACACACACACACACACACACACACACACACACACACACACACACCTTGAAGGCTTCTAGCCGAGCAGTAAATCTATATTGCCTACTCGTATACATCGTCGACGTTATCTCAAAGTACTTATGTTTTGAAAATGACACTACTTTAAATGGCCTTCACGATGAAGATGCGCGCCATGGCTGAGTAATAAAGTTATTACAAGAAAGTATACTTTCATAGGTGATTCCAACTTAGTGTCATTTGCATTTACGATGTCGGCGCGAAGTACATCCTATACAGCCATAACATATCCGATAGAGTGTCTATTTATCAAGTCCACGCGTCCGTATTTGTCGCAACGCGATTGTATGCTGTACCGCCAAACATTCAACGATATGCGACTATCCTCTACGAGTTCTTGCAACCAAGCATCCCAGAGAACTATTTGACATGGTCCATACGGGAAAGTGCTTAGGTATAACCACATGCATTATCTCATATGGTGGCTCACATGTTTATGCTTTCATACATAATCACACTTCACTGCGTGGGGACTCGCGACTATGCGACATTTCTGCATTATGGCTTCGATTGCTTTTGTCTGTATCACAGGCTGAAGACCTTGACTCAGGTTCGAACGGCAAGATTGTGTACGACCTCTCTCCGGACAGTGACCCCGAAGGCAAATTCAGCATCGATCCCCAGACAGGCTACCTGAGTAACGTGAAGACATTCGATGATCTACAAAATGTGGAACTACCACTCAAGCTCAAGGTCACTGCCCGGGATAGCCCCGACCTGACTGCCAGAGCATTAACAGAGTCCACCTACGTTTATGTGAGAACTACTTAATCATCAATTTCATGTAAACTTCACTAGTATATATCCATCAGAAATGCTAGCACAATTGTTGCCATATTTTAAATCTACAGTAAGATGAAATGAACAAAAAAAAAGAATTGAGGTTACAAGTCCGTGCTCCTTTCAAAATATTTGAAACCTCACCCAGTTTGTTCACTAGCTGAACGTATATACATGTAATTTTGCACAACTCCTAAAGGTGTACTGACACCTTTTATTTTTGAAGGCGAGTTTACTCTGCCATACAAATCTCCTGTATACAAAAAACTGTTCTAAGCAAGTGTGAAGTTCAGCTAACGCTGATAAGATGTTATATTACGACATTAAAGTCAATTGTTCCATGACGCACCTCCCGACATTGACAGTAGCTTGACGTCAGGCTACAGTACTAATGCCGGTGACTTCACGCTGCAGCCTGGCTAGTTGTGATAGCGTCAGGTACCAGAGCTTCCAAGATGGCCGCTTCTGCACCACCAAAACATTCAAAATGACCGCCTGCACATCACAAAGCCACAGTGCGGGGCGGTATCTTGCGTGAGCCCAAGAAAAAAAGCTGATACCGTGTTGTGACGTCAGAATACAGTAAGAACGGATACTAGCATTTAAAAAAATTCTGACGTTACTTTTCCAGGATGAACTCGTGCTTATAGCACTACATTTTCTATGCTCTTGAGAGCTTGGTTTTTGATTTTGCGCAAAAAAAAACTGCAGAAAATTTTCGTGTCAGTACCCCTTCAAAGCTTTACGCATTTGTCCCGGGCTGTATTGCATTTCTTTACGTATTAATTGACAAAACAAGTAACAGTATTTGAAATGTTTCTTCATGGTTACAGTCGCAATAGGAGAAATAACCGGTAAGGCCTAAGTGAGAATATTACAAGCAGTTTATTTGCCATATAGGCTGTCTTTATAAGGAACCAGTTATAACGGCAGCAAGACGAATGCCTAGTTGAGTGACTCATACTATGTTAATCTAGGTGAACCTCATCCGCTTCGAGAATCGTCTTGTCTTGGCTATCGGCGATGTCTTACCAGACAAGGTGCTGCAACTGAAGGACCACATAATGAGGTGAGGCTGTACACTTTGTAACGAGCCTTGAAAACGCGGTGTTTTTGCTTTGGTGCTCAAAGTGACGTTTTCTATTTTACTATCCAGCATAATACAGCAGCAGACCCGTCTTATTGCAAGCGTCGAGAAGGTAGTCGCTCTGAAGGTACTGCGGAACAACACGATTGTAACAGATTTCTCTGGGTAAGTGAGCACATTTGGGCAGCTCTTGGGGCACCTTGTACAGTGACTCTAACAGATGGTTTTTCACGCAGGAGTGATATCTGGATGTTCTTGGTGGAACCGGAAAGCTTGAGAATTTTGACGACGAATGATCCACGAGTTCAAATGTAAGTAGAACTTCCGGCATGGGAAATTTAAGTGGGATGGTCACAGACACGTCAATACTGTCTGAAAACATTGCAAAAAATTTTTTAGAATATTTTGTCCCACTCTTTCTGAACGCCTCCAGGGGTCGAATTCACAATCCTTTTTGCTTCGAATTGTTTTTTTATTCGTACTGGCTAGCCAGTTATATGTCCAGTATTAGGATGGCTGAATTTCTGTGAACTGTTTGAGAGTAAAAAAATTTCTTACATTTATGCGTTCGTAAGCTCACTTTGTCATTGGCCAGCCGGGCATGGTATGTGCAGCATCATGATTCGCTTAAATTTTCTCTCCTGAACAATTGTGGCCTATAATGTTTTTCATTATAACTCTCTTCTTTATACAGAGATACAAATTTATCTATCGACAGGGTGTCATAGTTCTTGATATATCTGTATTGTTCTGAAGCAAAGTAAAAATTTTCAGGGTGTGTTAATATTATTGTCGATACAATTTGACTTTCTCTTTTGCACATCGCAGGGACTTAGTGATTATAGCTTCTTATTTCTGAGCGCGAGTTGACTAGCCCCAACCGCAGTGGCAGCATTTTAAAAGAATCGGAATGCAGAAGTTCATGTACCGAGATTTCCGTGCACTTTAAAGAAGATTACAAGGTCCAAAGAACCAGGGACATTTTATTGCTTCGTTGCTGGTAGCTCTCGTATAGTATAAGCCACACTGAAAAAAAAAAAAGATATCATTGCTAGCAACTATGGTTCATGATGCAGGGGCTCAGCACTGTAATGTCTCCGCAAACGCAGGTTGGTGAGCAGTGGTAGCGCGCAATCTTCGTTCCTGGACCACCTGTCGCGCAGCCTGGGCATCACGGCGCAACAGCTTCGTACACCCTATGCGCCACCCACGGCTCCGCCCAACCTCGTGCGGCCCGTCAAGATCGCCGGCGGAGACTCGAGCGACCTGGGCGCCGCACTCATCGTGCTAGCCTGCATCATAGCCGTGCTCGGCTTCGTTGGCATCGTCTACCACTGCTGCATGTGGTCGAGGTGGGCCACCTCGCAGTTGATCGAATGTACACGACAACGCACAACAGCGTTCGACACATTCTGTCGTGCACGAACAAACCAGTGGGGAAGATGGGCTGTGGGAGCGATATATTCTCCCTATACACCACTGAAAGCTCTTTAATGTAGTCCTGTATAGGGTAAAGGATAGTACAGAGTATACTGCGTGTGGAGTATACTGTGCCACGAAATGTAGAGCACGTCATAATCCTTCAGCGTAGTATGACTTAAAACATATTCAGAGAGATTCTTTAGACAAACAATGTACAACAACTATACAATAGCATCCTGGTGTTCTCTTTGTTCAATAGGAAGATTTCAATGCACTTTTTCTGAGATAAGCTCATGGTGCATGTTTCGACAAAGGTTTACATGCTTAAAGTTAAAGGACATCAAGCGTTTGAATTCTTTCATGACAAAGAGATCATACATTGCTGCGGTGGTTATGGTTGTCTAATCGTTGTCCCTTGCGTTTTTTAGCCGAGATCAGACATTACGGATGTACTTCTTAAGTATTTATTGACCAAATTAATAGAACAGTACAAAGGAAATAAAAAGCAGTCAGGTTATTTTTTTCGCATTCTCCGATGTGTCCTATAATAACACGGCCTTTAAAAAAGAAATGTTAATAAATGAACTTTATCGCTGCCAGACTTACATTTCCAGTCAGTGCAATACTTTTTCTCTCTTACCTCTAAGTAACTGTTTGCTTCCGTGGACATCTCTCACATGATTAGTTACTATGCGATGATGAAAAACTACTTTATAGAGTGACACGAAAGCTGTAAGGCTACTGCATCGGATTAACTGGGGCCTCGGTTTCAGGTACGTGGCGAACAAAGAGAGGATCAAGCGGATGTGCGTGGCTCCCAGATACGAACCCGTGTACGCAGACTCAAGTTTGAAAGAATATGAAACGCAAGTGAGTACTCGAACGATTTTCAGTGCTACTCTGCAATTGAAAGTGGCTCTATAGTCTCGTAGTTTGTCTATAAACAAATGTAGGATACACAAGACCACTACATATGTTCTGCATATGAGTGCTGCAGTAAGCTTTCTAATTGATCCCGTCTTTTATGAAGCAGCATTTCTTACTGATGGTTATGAAGTTCGGCAGAATATGATTGATATGTGGGGTTTAACCTCCCATAACCACCATATGATTATGAGAGACGCCGTAGTAGAGGGCTCCGGAAATGTCGACCACCTGGGTTCTTTAACGTGCACCCAAATCTGAGCACATGGGCCTACAACATTTCCGCCTCCATCGGAAATGCAGGCGCCGCAGCCGGGATTCGATCCCTTGACCTGCGGGTCAGCAGCCGAGTACCTTAGCCACTTAGTTCGGCAGAATAAGTGTGACCAAAATAATAGTGAAAAAGTAGTGGCTTCATTTTTTCTGAGATAACCTATAATGCACTAACCACGGGTGTCACAAGGAGAGGGATATGGTGCTGCACCTACTTAGGGAAGCTTTGATAGTAAGGCTTTTAATAAGAAAACTCGTAGGCCACATGAAGTACTTCAGATGCACGCTTCACAATCAGCTGATCTAAATCAAACGCTTGCAGAAGGATAAGCTCGTGGCCTCATTATGAGGTATAAACACGCTGGGATGCGTTTTTACGTTATGAATGCGTTTTTACGGATATGTGTTCATATCCAGAAAAAATCAATTGTGGCAACTGGAAATCACGAGTCACCTAAAAAACTATCATATTTTTGTATGAGAAACAACTAATCTCGGACAAGCTTGCGATGTAGATAGCATAAATTAATGGAAATCGGCGCAGAGGAACACGTAAGTGGTCGGCGCACCTTCGAAGGCTGCGTTCCTATATGCTCGCCAGTACCGCGTTTTTCGCTTACGACGCCACCACCGAAATTTGCAAGTTGTAAAACCTTCGTCTAGTATTTCGCTCCCGCGAATCTTACAGAAAATAAAAATTAGGGCAGCTTGCACTGAGTTGTGCAAGGCTGAGTCACAGCAGATCTGGTAGACACCCACCTGCGCATGGATTAAGTTTTTACCCTTTCACCTTTCTCTCTTTCAACCCGTTTTCACAGGGAGCGTAGGAGGGGAGCATAAAAAAGAGAGGGGCATGGGCGTGTACATGCGCAGTGGAGGCATCGACGCAAAAAGTCTCAGGAGACGTCTCGTTGCCTTCGCTGACGACTGAGAAGAGACGAGCGAGAGCAGGAGGGGCACCGCGCATGCGCTGTAAGGGTGGTCAAGCCACACACCAGATTGAGCTCGACCCTAAGTCGCTTTGCATCTATATATGGAAGAAATAAGCCGAGAAGATTTTTACGCAGTAAACGTAATTTTTTTTTCGTTATATGAACCAAACCGTCTAGGGCAACAACATTCGCAGCAAGTCCACCCTTGCTGCAGGATAAACTGTGTTGTAAGACATGTGGTTCACACGCTGGCCTTTTTTTTCCCCTCTTTGTGCAGGTGTTGCAGATGAGCGTGCCGGTGGACGAGGACGGCAGCTGCAATGAGTCTCCGCTGGGGCTGAAAGGTGGTGGCGCCGACGTGGCCTACTTGGGCGGTGGCCGCACTGCCTATGAGCGCGAGTCACCCAGCTCCATCGGAAACGCGTCCACCGCCCGGGTGGGAAGCTGCGCGTCAGCAACTTTTGACGACGCACCGACCGCCACTCGGAATCCGTTATACGTCGCCTACAAGTGAGCAGAGTTTTATATGCTCTAGCGGGAAAAGATGGCCGGGTTGCATTTAACCAGCCAGCGTTGAGGGTCACACGTTTACGTTGATACCTGAAGAAATTCTAAACAAATAATAATAATAATAATAATAATAATAATAATAATAATAATAATAATAATAATAATAATAATAATAATAATAATAATAATAATAATAATAATATAATAATAATAATATCTGGTGTTTAGCATTCCAAAACCACGATATGATTATGAGACACGCCGTAGTTGAGGGCTCCGAAAATTTTGACTATCTGGTGTTCTTCACCATACCCTGACATCGCACAGTATACGATGCACGACAAGCGTATGCTAACATTCTTTGTCTTGTCTCTCGCTACATTGCTCTATCATAAATTACCAACTTTCCCAGCCACCTATTATTCCAAGGAGCACCGTTTTACGCTGTAATCCTAGTCAGCGCAATGTACAGCATTTATAGATAGTTGATTTTCGAAAACACCTAAATCAAGCATAATTTGTTCAGGTCAAGTATCAATCAAAGATGTCGTGTTGTGTACGCAAAGTAGCTGCATAACACCTTCGCACAACGCTGATGCAAAGCATGAATTCACGATTCAATAGGCACAACGTTGCATATTTTCGAATCTGCATCTTTAATTTAAAAGATAAATACTGGTGTAGTCATGCTTCTGGTGCCATATAGCAGGGCTCGCAACCAGTTCTCAACTCGAAAAAGAAGGTTAAACGATATAATAACGTATTTTATATCAGTAGCAGTTGCAATTATGCTTGAGAGTGGTTAAAGTGAGAGTAAGGGAGAATGGCGTGTAACAATTTCAAACGACTATAGCGCAGACCACCTCTGAGTTTGAACTCAATGTTACTTTGTTCTGTTTTCATTTGTTTTTTTTTTGTTCTTTAGCAAAACATGCATCGAGTACTATGTGCTGATACGGCAATCGGGCATTACCGTCGCCGTGTGTTACTGATTGCCTCAGCTGAATAAAAATATATTATTCCTGAAGGTACTTTCTTTATTGCTTGTTCTGTATACAATTCCACCCATCATGAAAACTGAAACGCCAATTAAAAACATTTTCTCCGACCGGTCATACGATGACCAATGCAAAAGAAAAATCAAAATTGATGTTTTTCAAGCATGGAGAGCACACTGTAGTAAATTACTAGTAATAAAGACTAGGCGGTCTTGTTAAACGCAAGCTTTCATTTTCATCAAATCTAGCAACATGCTTTCTTTTCAGCCCTAACCTTGTCGGTCAAGAATGACATGCGCATACAGTACCAAGCAGACTTGCCCGAGAAAGCGCATATGTTCATTTGGCAACGTGTACCTCATGGTTGCAGTATTAAATGAAAAGCACTTCTTAGGAATCCTAGGGCACTTTGAGCATTCCTATCTATCTATCTATCTATCTATCTATCTATCTATCTATCTATCTATCTATCTATCTATCTATCTATCTATCTATCTATCTATCTATCTATCTATCTATCTATCTATCTATCTATCTATCTATCTATCTATCTATCTATCTATCTATCTATCTATCTATCTATCTATCTGTCTATCTATCTATCTATCTATCTATCTATCTATCTATCTATCTATCGAGCCATCTGTCTGTCTGTCTGTCTGTCTGTCTGTCCATCCGTCCATCCGGGCGTCCGTCCGTCTGTCTGTCTGTCTGTCTGTCTGTCTGTCTGTCTGTCTGTCTGTCTGTCTGTCTGTCTGTCTGTCAATCAATCACTGACCAGCCTCGCATAAAAACGATCCCTACAAGGCGCGGGCAATGCCAATTTTTATTCAAATATGCTGGTGACCGTAGTGTTGATGCTGCCACTGGCGAGGTTAACCTGGGAGGCGTGGTTGGCAACAGGTCTGCCTGAGCGGCATTTTACATGTGGTATATCTCACCAAACATCGCTTCAACCAGTATCTGACAGAAAACGTATCTCGCAGAAAGCTGCCATTTCTTTGCGAATCATCCGCGCACCCTTCCGGAAACACAATCTCTTCACAGCATTCGTGGACCTGCAGTGTTCAAAGTTGAAGGGGCTCCTTCCCCAATGTGTACTGAGTACAATGAAATGTGAATCGCTCTATAAGTTCCTGCAAGCGCTTTTGCCCTGACAGGGCAAAAGCACTTGCACTCTTGTCCAAGAGCATATTGCAGGCGCTTTTGCCCTGAAAGGGCGAAGGCACCTGCAATATGCTCTCATGGACAATACGACTCTTCGACACTATGTTCTGTTACCGCCCTGTAATTGCTAAACGTTCGTCTGTCTCTATGTTTTTTGTTATGCTTGCAGCTCGGATGAAGAGGAGCCGAGTCCGGGCGCACCATCGCCAGCAGCAAAGACGCTGAGTGGTCTAACTATGCTGAAGACGCATCCACCCACGGCGGCCGCCGGGGACAAGTCCAAATACATCGCGGGTGTTGAGACGACGACAGAGCTATGACCTACATGTATTTATTGTGTTGCCCACTTGTACATACTGTAAAATGCCCCCTGTGCCAAACATTAAAGCACACGTTGATGACATGCGAAAAAATCTGATGTTGTTTGTCTCATCAGCGAATACCGTTTTTTTTTTCAAGTGGCCCTTTTGTTGTCAGGCTTTTCGTTTGTTTTATAGTTGTTAGTTGAATGCACGTTACTTAAACTAACACATTATTCCTACATCGCGAGTTCATGTAAGCATTCTTTTGTAAAAAGAAATTACAGAACTAATGTTCTAGATGAATTAGTTTAGGTGTCAAAAAGAAAGTTACACATTAGCGTAGACTTTTATTGACATTTCTTATGCAACAGTGGTTCTTAAAATGCACTAAATACATTCAGCGTGTTGCCACATTTTTGGCCGTGCATGAAATTAATGTAAGATTGGGTCTGTGCTTCCTAGCAGCCCGTTTAATTATTGACTCTAATAATCTTATTCACCACGCTCGGCAGCTTATTTAAGTGGCTCTGGCGAAGAAGAATACTCTGATTCAATGATCAAGCCCAAACGTATCACCTATGAAATCGGGGCATTTTTATATGATGCCTTATGTCCGAAAGTATAACTTAGGTTGCTTCTGTTTTTCTGAGGGCGCCAGGATCAAAGAGGGCACTGACCGTTCAATGATGTGACTTTTTGTCAGTGTAGCTTCAGTCATTACTTCTTTCAAAGGGTCATAAGATAACTCAGTAACTCATTATCGGGAACTATTCAGAGCTTCCCAGAAAATAGTTCTCACCGCAGGTACCTCACGATTCATTATATACCCGAATTCTCAGTCTATATTCTCAAAGAATATCGACAGAGCTTCTGGGACTCGGCGATATTCGGAAATATTTAGCGTTGCGCATTTTCCAGCATAATTCTAATAGAAGTACCCACATTAACAACCTTGTGCATATTACAATTTTTTTTTGTCTCTGGTCTCGACAGTTTACGCTAAATAACAATCAATGAATCATTAATCAGCCCAAACATGCATATTCCCTATACGCCTTAACTTAAGTGCTAAAAGGTGGCGAGCTATGAGTGATAGTGGTAATCGTACGAACTACATTAGTAGTGGGTGTGTACAGCTTATCAACTTATATAAATATTGGCGCTCTAGGTTGCCATATTAAGCAGTTCCACTGTGAAGGGGAATCCATTCGAGGATATTCTGGCGCATTCCCACCACCACCACTAAAGTTTCACAACTACAATTCTGGCGTCCGAGGCCTTTTGAAGCGTGGACACGAGATAACACCTCTCGAGAAGCATTTGATTGGTACTGACTAGATGTGATCAAACGCCACCGTAATGTTGAAGTATAGAAAGACTGACGGCGTACGATTTATACCGTACCTCGAACAACATGGTCTCAAATCAACTTGTATCGAGCGTCGACCGACGCATACTGTACCTGTATTTTGGAACCTCCCATTGGGTTGACGTGTCAGCAGCCCGTTCAGGAAGAACGGGGAGTAGTAAATTTCGGAGAGTTTCATTTATTTTCATGCTAAAGAAGTTCGACGCGTTGCGACCAACGTCCTTTTGCGAGCGAGCCCGGCACTTGTCCTTCGTGCAAACCGGGGTCACACACACAAGCGCACAGCCACAGAGCTTGCACAGTCACTGGCGGCCGCGCGGGTCCTTGCAAGAGCACTCGTCGATGGGGCAGTTAGGAGGGAAGCTCTTCACCACGTGACCAGCCACAGTAGACGCGCAGCAATCACCACCATCCCAGTCGCAGTGCTCCTGGTTGTTTGAGGCATCACACCAACCGTCTCCTATGTACTCCTGCCCATGCAAAGAAAGAAAGGCGAGATGTAGTACTACAACCGACACTTTAAGTCGCTCAAGAAGCCTCAGCGAATGTTCGCAACTTCACAAGCGAGCCAATGCTTCGGACACTTACTTTGTTACACCTACGCCGACATTCTAAAGAGTCAGTATTTGGGTGCCAGAGGCCAGCTCCGGAGCAGACAACGTCCTGCGCAAATGCGAGCTGCCGGCTGTCTTGAGAAAATACCGGTTCGTAGTCTGGTTCATCACAGGTCACGTTGCACGTTGAACCTATAGACAGATACCATATACATGTCAGCTTGAATTCGCACCGCTGCGAATGCTATCAAAGCATACAATTAAGCGGACTCTTTCAGCAACGCTGTCAAACTTGCGTGCTCGCCGCGGTTGCTCAGTGGTCTTATGGCACTCGGCAGATGAGCTCAATAGCATGGGTTCTCGCTTTTACGTTTAGAGTATAGTGCCCTAATTCGGTGTATTGAGAACATGTCTATAGTGTTGCGAGTCTCAGTGAGTATAGCTATCGTCTCCGAGTGAACAACAGTCTACAGTGGACACATGCGCCGACGACCTTAGGTGGCACGTCTTTTATGCTGCTCCTTTGATGCGAGGTACCCTGCAAATTAAACAATGAAAAAAACGTGTGACATGCTCTAATCAATCGTAAAAGCAAATTCCGATCAATTCTTATGCTGAATACATTGTTACTATATTATCAGCGAAGGGACTAGCCAACTAAAAAGAGCTAAGGCGCTTTGTCAATTCTACCTCATATTTAAAAATTATCCTTGTTCGCCCAACGTTATGATCTATATAATCTGGAGCTAGAATAATAAGAAGAGCCCGTATTTCTCAATCATCATACACGTACAGACGTCAGCAAGATTAACCCGAACGTTCCGACACGCGAACTGGACTACTTTGACTGATGGGAGCCATGAAGCGCTGAACGCTGTTGCCGAAATAATATCTCGGGATGCTTGGATAGCAAGTCGTCATGCATGGATAACATCTCGGCAACAGAAGCTACGCGTTGCTAGCGCCAAACTCTTTCAGGACACGTGGTTGAGCGTTCTTGTTAAGCTTACTGACGACTGTACAAATCCAGCTGTTCATATAAGGTGAAACTCAATGTGTTCTGTATCTTGAAGACATTCTGCAAATGACCAAGTAGGGTGTACATAAAACATGAAGAAAAGTGGCTTGGACTTTCAGATGTCAGTAACTGTGGTTCCATAACCACAGAGGAATAAAAATTACATCATCTTCCACTAAAGGGAGCGAGGAGTAGCATGCGAAGCAGCGCATGGGTCGGCTTAAAGCTCCTTCAATAACGGGATCCTTGCCCTATCTTCACGCGTCCTTGCAAGTGGAGCACGGCGTGAATTCACTGTAGTTTATTTTGCTGTTACTCCTCCCGTACACTTGTTGGAGCACGCCACGCGGGTTCATCGCCATGCCACGTGGGAGCACGTGGATTCATCGCGCGTCTGGAGAATCGCATTTCATGACGCCATCACGTGGTTGTTGAGAGCGTGTAAGAGGGAGAGGCGACAGTCTTACACAACTTCTTACGCAGGCCAGAACGCGCTAGCGCGTGCCAATGAGTTTTAACTAGGATACAAGGTGTTAGTTCACCGCGCGTCTGTAGATTGCTCTTCCCCGACGCCATCACATGATTTCTGAGAGACTGTTTGGGGGAGAGGCCACAGCGTCCTACCCAGCTTCTTACACAGGCCGAAACGCTCGAGCGCGTGCGCGCATTCAGGCAGTGCATGGGCCAGCTGTTGCACATGCGTAGTAAGTGGTCCCACCGCACACCGCCAGATTGAACACCGCCATAAGCTGCATCACATCTAAAAAAAATTAGGACGAAGCGTTGCATGACGCAGCCAGCCTTGGTAGGCGAACGATACGTGAAGCCAGAAATGTTGGTATGATGGGTGACATCTTGTGTAAAGATCACGCAATAAACGAGATCTGCCGACACTTGTGGGTTTAGTGCCCAGCAGTTATTTTATTACAGCTGGCTTGAATTTCAGCTGGACACAGAAAGCAGGTTTGAAAACAAACCTCAAGCGCTGAAAGCTACCGCGTGCTCTGACGCTTTTATCACATGTTAAGCAGACACGGTGGATATATGCTTTGTTGCGTAATGTAATAACACATGTCATAACACACAGATAACACACATGTCGCTCAGGGTTGAAAGAGTGCGGTGCAAACCAGTGCAAAACGTAAGGAATCTTGCGTGACGCCAATGGGCTAATACAAAAGTAGTTTGGCACATATTGAAACTCTTCTCTTTAGCTACCGATTATGCTTAGATTAAGCTAAAGCCATGGCTTATAACACTAGTATACATCGCAGAAGAAGGTTAATAGTGATAATTCATTTACTAACCGACGCTTCTTGCAGCACAACGAAAGTGAATGACACCAGAGCGATTTCGAGGTTCAGGGCAGCTGAGATGGCTGAAACTGCACACCGGAGGGTCCCTGTTCCAAACTCCGTCTAGTTCGCACCTTAGTTCTGTTGTCTGCATAAAGGGAGAAAAATGAGAAAAGGGAGAAAAATAATTCACCAAAGATTTGCTTTAATACATTTCCTTTAGAATGAGCAGGTCGGCCCAAACTTGGGTAAGAAAGATAGCGAGTGAGAGAGAACGCGAGATAGTTGAGAGAAGAAATAAAGAAGAAACGGGGGGAGGCAAACTGGAAGAAAAGTGGTTTACTTTCATATATAATAGGGTACGGGGTAGGTGGAGGGCTCCAGACGATATGAATAATATTGAGAAAATAAAGTAGGTTAGGTAATATGGTCATAGGTTATAGGTATGCAGAGCACGTGTAGAAAAGGAGATATAAAATAGATGGTCTCGTGCGTGTGGGAATGAATGAAAGTGATGTTGCCTGACGTCTTTCCAAAAAATATGGCGTGCTCTGATAAGACCTGTAGATATAGAAAGAGGGGTGACGGAAAGCGCAAGATGGAGCATAATAGAAGGGCTAATTATGTAGATTTAAGCTCTCTTGGCAGTTCAAGACGAAAGAACGGAAGTGATGAAATTTTAAGAGTCAAAGATAGGTACTGAGATGAGTGAGTGGCTGTTTCTCAGGTATGGAGCTTCATTTACTTATTTATTGTTCTCTTTTGTTGCTTTACGCCTGCTTTAGTCCCGGCAAACACACTTGCAGCCGATATAAAAGGTTTCCTTCCTCGGCTGTCCACGTCGTTTTCATTTTTAATCCACCCTATCACTATCG